AAGCCATATGATGCCTGTCAAATTTCAAGAAGGACATCCTGGAGGGCAAGGACGTTGATCTCGTCTCTCTTCTCATTGCCCCCCAGGATGTCACAGGGAACCACTTATACACCTGGGGCGCTATCTCAGTGGTCCTTAAGGCCAGAGACACAATACTGAGTTAAATTATTCATCAGTATAGTTATAAACTTCATGGTCTGGGGTCAGTACAGACACTGCTGCACTCCACAGGTCTCAGCCTATATTCCTGGCAGTCGTGTCCAGTACGTCTACCCTCAGGTCATTGGACCCAACAGGTATATAAGTATATTTAGTTATGGCTTTTCAGCACATCTATCAGGTACCCCGGGTAGACCCTACACTGATCATATGTTGCACTGAAAGTTACTGTACGATATCAGAATGGCCATGCTTCAATTATGGCTACGCTGTCATAACCAGTAACTTTCAACTGATCTACAACTTAAATAAACACCAACCCACCCCATTAATTTCCCCTCAGACGTACGTTACCTTCCAGTACCACAGGAACTACATTGGGCCTCTCTCATCCTCTTATGCATAGTCCTCACACAAAGCCATCTATGGGCCTTTGCAACATAATTCAGGTACCTCAAAATCCTCCCTATACGGCATTTCTCTGCATTTACAAATCCAGTCAGTCACTTACGTGATCTCCAATATTAGTTTCCCACTGGTAAACTAGGAATGTCCCACATACTTCATACATAATTCAGGTTCTTCTAGCGGAAGGACGCCCAGCGGGAACTCACCTAGGCACAATATATTTAGGTGTCTCTTCCCTATACATATATATGTCTTCAACTAGGGTCACCTACATATGTAGTCACCACGATGCAGCGGCTTACACAGGACTTACTGCAATCTCAGGGGACAATTGGCTATGGGGTAGGTGGCCGGGGTAAGTAAGCCAGATCAAAGGGTTCCTTAGGAACTATGCACGCTCCAAGGTATATCCCATCCTAGCCGCAGCAGCAACATGGGGTCATTCATGGGCATGCAGACCGGTTCGAGATCTCTGACAATTTGTCATTGGCCACGTCATAAACAAGTCCGGTCTTGTATCCCTTATTTCATCAGACGACTAACGTAGGGGAAGCCTATCACCAATTTTATGTGGTATGTTACTACGTACCAGGCATTCACAATACAGCTGCTGACCAGTTATCTAGTCTTCAGTTTCAGGCGTTCAGGAGGTCCCTAACAACTGCCTCACCTGTAGCCATGATCACTCCCCAGCTCTAAGAATTACCTATGGAATAGAAGAGTGGCTAAGTCACAGCAAGAATTCACACAGTTGACCCTCAAAGAATACGCACACTGCTCTGACAGAGTTTACTGCACATATTGAAGGTCATGTCAGATTACCACCTTACAAACTGGTTCAAGTATACAACGTTGGGGGCTTTCGCCACTTTTTGCCACATCAAAACAATGTCACACAACACCATTAAGTTATATCTCCCGGACATTCAACGCCCATGTTTTCAGTTACAAACACCATTCTCAGAAAATCGCCATATACTTGGCTTTTATGGTTTCCCACGATCAGAGAATTTACCATCAAAGGGCAACACGATTCCAAGCTTTGCCTACGGTATTCTAACCTGTACAAATACAGGATCACTTTGTATTAACTTACCATCAACTACGTCGAGCCAGAGGGGACACAAGGTACTTATTCAGTACTACCCCACCAACAACGCTTATCTCAGCCGACAGAGGAATTTAGGAATGCATTTGTGTAATTTCACCATAATACGCTAACTCCATGTCTTGTGATTTCGTAATAAACCTCTTTTGATTACACTATATGGGTATTCCTTTTTGCCCACTTATTTACAGGCCTACCACACACATCAGTTTCGGCACACCTCTACCGACTTTTTGATCATTGTGATAAGTATACTCTCTAGCTATTTCATTCTATACTGAAATGGCCCCGACCACAAATTGGAAGGCGGGGCCTGAATTTGTGGGAGGGGCTATGTCCCTTTAAAAGGGACTCTCCCCTCCTACCTAAACTTACCTACTGGTCCAGACGCTATTTCAGACTATACTGAAATGGCCCAGACCATATATTTGTGGTCTGGGCCATTTCAGTATAGTCTGAAATAGCTAGAGAGTATACGTATAACAATAATCAAAAAGTCGGTAGAGGTGTGCCGAATCCGACATGTGTGGTAGGCCTGTAAATAAGTGGGCCTACCTTAAAGAGTATTGAATAGAGTATTGAATAGAGTATTGAATATATATACAAAAATTTAATACTCGGATCAGCAAACAATAGCATATTAAACCGGAGTAAGGTAGATCTACAGAGTTTTCTTATATAACCTGGTTAACATGACATCAACGGAGACTGGCCCATACTGAAATGTCTTTAATTGTCTCCAATCAGAAAAAAAATGTTCCAGTCACTGTAAAGATTGTTTTTACTTTTGTCTAGTGTGGACAATTTATCTCCAGCAGTGGACTCTAGTCCTTTGTGCAGCAAAGCTATAGATTGGAATTAATGACAAAAAATGAGGCAAAATTTGTCATACTTGAAGAATGTGTTCCATGAGTGGCTTAGTTATTCTAATACTATAAATGCTCATGTTGCTGTTTTATGTGTTCTTGTATAAGCAAACTGATAGGACTACAAAATATGTGCAAGCTATCTGGAAAATAATCCTTTTCTTTTAAAAATGTTTAGGTTACTCTTGCTTTTAATTGCTGAAGCCAGATCTTGCATCCAAAGGGCTCAAATTTACATTCAAATCACCACTGGGTGTTAATTGTAAGGCACTACTGGGGTTCACAATCTGGTATGGATCAGTAAAAAGGGACCAGATTGTGTGTTTCTCAATGCTTATTTTTAGTAGTGAGACAGGTGTGATATTGTGCAAACATACCAGATTTTTTGTAAAAACGAACCGGTATAAGCTGAGACCATAAAAATGGGAATTGTAAACCACAGGAAGTAGTAGGTAAGATAGGTTTTTTTTGGGGGTGGGGGGAATTTAGGCAGGTCTCAGAATATGAACAAAGCATGCATAGTTCAAGAACAAAGTAAAATAAGGAGAATAAGGTCATTAGGACCAATGTAGTATGGTGGAGATTATGGAGAAGAGTGATAGTTTATGCTTTCAAGTAGGGATCGACCGATATTGATTTTTTAGAGCCGATACCGATATTCTGTGAACTTTCAGGCCGATAGCCGATATAATTTGCCGATATTCTGTACATTTACCATTTTGGAAAATAAAAACTATTTCTAAAGGTAAATGCACAAAATATACATGCCACGTGTAGTGGATGCAGTGTGACAGGGGAGCTGTGTGTGTGTGTAGTGGATGCAGTGTGTGTCTTTGTGTAGTGTGTGTGTAGTGGATGCAGTGTGTGTCTTTGTGTAGTGTGTGTGTAGTGGATGCAGTGTGTGTCTTTGTGTAGTGTGTGTGTAGTGGATGCAGTGTGTGTCTTTGTGTAGTGTGTGTGTAGTGGATGCAGTGTGTGTCTTTGTGTAGTGTGTGTGTAGTGGATGCAGTGTGTGTTTGTGTAGTGTGTGGGTTGTGGATGCAGTGTGTGTTTGTGTAGTGTGTGTGGAGGATGCAATGTGTGTTTGTGTAGTGGATGCAGTGTGTATTAGTGTAGTGTGTATATAATGAAAGCAGAGTGTTTGTGTAGTGTATGGGTAGTGTGCGTAAAGTGAATGCTGTATATACTAAATGCAAAGTGTGTGTGTATATAATGAATGCAGAGTGTGTGTGTATTTGTGTAGTGTGTGTATAGTGAATGTAGTGTGTGTTTGTATAGTGTGTGTATATAATGCAGTGTGTTTGTGTAGTGTGCATTATGTAAACACACTACGCAAATACACTGCATTATATACACACACTATGCAAACACACTGCATTATATACACACACTACACACACAAACACTGCATTATATAAACACTACACAAACACACACACTGCATTATATACACACTGCACAAACACACACTGCACAAACACACACTGCACAAACACACACTGCACAAACACACACTGAATTATATAAACACACTACACAAATACACTGCATTATATACACACACTACACAAATACACTGCATTATATACACACTGCATTATATACACAGTGTGTTTGTATAGTGTGTGTATATAATGCAGTTTGTGTGTGTGTATATAATGCAGTTTGTGTGTGTTTGTATAGTGTGTGTATATAATGCAGTTTGTGTGTGTTTGTATAGTGTGTGTATATAATGCAGTTTGTGTGTGTTTGTATAGTGTGTGTATATAATGCAGTTTGTGTGTGTTTGTATAGTGTGTATATAATGCAGTGTATTTGTGTGCATTGTATACAAACACACACTATACAAACACACACTATACAAACACACACTATACAAACACACACTATACAAACACACACTATACAAACACACACTGCGTTATATACACAGTGTGTTTGTGTAGTGTCTGTGTATATAATGGAGTGTGTGAGGGGGAATTTTTTATTAAATAATTTTTTTATATATATATTTAATTATTATTTTTTGTCCCCCCTCCCTGCTTGTTGCCTGGCCAGGGAGGGGGGATATAGCAGTCCCTGGTGGTCCAGTGGTATTGGCTGAGCAGAGCAAGCGCTTACTCACCTCCCAGCAGCTCCTCCAGCTCCCCAGTGCAACTCTCGCGGCCAGCGTGTCGCGCGGAGCGTTGCCATGGTGATCCATGGCAACGCTCTGACGGCCGCGGGTCTCGCGAGAGTTACACTGGGGAGCTGGAGGAGCTGCTGGGAGGTGAGTAAGCGCTTGCTCTCCGCCCCCCCAGGACCGCCGGGCTTGTAATGAGCCTGGCGGTCCTAGGAGGTATTATCGGCAATATCGGTATCTGAATTGGCCGATACCGATATTGCCGAAAATACCGAATATCGGCCGATTATATCGGTAAAACCGATAATCGGTCGATCCCTACTTTCAAGGTACATTTTTTCTTTTAAGTGAGTGTTCACAAATGGGGAAAGTTTTTCTTCAGCATGGACCATACACATCCACTCACAAGTTTGAGTGGTCATGGGCTCGTCATTCCTGCCATAGCTCATCATTCCTGGACAAATTTGGAGTGTCTATTTTTAAAATGTATTTATATAAAATGTATTTATTTTATTACTTGGAATTTGGAGTGTGATACTTGTATTACAGAATATTAAATGATCATTAATGTATTTGCAATATTTTTTAATCAGATGTACAAATGAAAACACAAAAATTGGAGATGATCTTCTGGAGGCTATTAGTATTGTAACTGAAGAAAGGATCTCTACTCCTTCCTCTTTGAATCAACTAGAGGAAACCTGGACTGAATACAGCTTTTCACAGGAAAAGATCCGGAGTTGCTCAGATGTGGTAAACCCTTAATAAATGAACCTGTTAATTTGCCACAAAGTAAAGTATGAAAATCTACCCTGAAATCCTATGTTCATTATACATATTTCCATTTATGGGATACTACAGTGACCACCCCCCCTTTTTTTTTCTCTCTCATGTTTATAGTTATTTATTTTTATATTCTTTATTTTGGCTGTGCAGAGTAATACAAAGATGCCTGCAATGTCACGACAGCAGAAACAAGCTTTTACATATCAACAAAAGCAAATAAAAGCAGGCATTTGATTTTCAGCACAATTTTGTAAATATAACTGTAAACAAAAGGTCTAAAATGTCTCCACTTATTCTTGTACTACAAGCTTATTGTTTAGACACATAGACATGAGAGTCACTTAAGTTAGAATCCACTGGGTCATAGTGCATTAAAATTATATCGTACTGAGTTAAATGAGGCTGAGGCTTATAAAAATAAAATAATAACACATGTATAAGGTACAGAATTGGGTTAAATGTAGGGGTGTCCAAATAGGCCTTAAAATCAGAGTTGACAACTACTACACATTAAGAGAGGCTCAACCAAACTAACTGTTATAGATAGTATAGATGGCCCCTCAGCTGATACCAGTAGAGGGAGAGATAGAGTCCCAAAGAAACTGCAGTCCAGGTATGTTCATGTGATCTTCCCACCCCATTCCTCCCCCCCCCCACCCCCTTCCCGGTTCCAAACTTCCAGTAGGAGATGGCACAGGATGTATATGCTTCTGTTAGCTGGAGATTGAGCCTACAGCACACCGGTCCCTCGCACCCAGCACCGTTCAGTCAGGACTTCTCCATCAGAGTGACTGTACTTAGGGGGATCATTCCTAATGGCTTGCAGCCAATGTGATTGAGAGCGAGCATGTACTCCATACCTTTCGTGTTTCTATTTTAGTTGAAGTTTTCAAGTTGTACATTAGAAAACATTATTGGCAGATGGAACAAATGTGAAATAGAATGGAAAAAGGGAAAATGTTCATATAAATAATAAGACGATATCTCTCCTGCTGCAACACATTTCCTGCTTTATATTTTAAAGCCACTGCTTGCAAATACAATAGTGTCCTCTTACCCTGGTAGCCGAGCGAGTGGTCATTTCACTGAAATGCACTTGAAAAGAATAGAGAGAGTACAGCATCAGCAGACACATTCCATTGATGCATTGCTTTAAAATCCATTCCTTCATCAAAAAGTAAAATACAAACAAATTGTAGCATAATATAAGCTCCAAACATGCAAATCCCAATTTTACATGTTTTGTGCTTAACTTGCACTTTCTCAAGACATTAATTATATCTGAAAGACATAGACCTGGAATGTAGCACGTTTAAAACATTCTTTATGCTGCGGTTTATTCTTCGAAAGTGAAATACAAACTGCAGCATAAAGAATGCTCAAAACGTGCTACTTTCCAAGTCTGTTTCAGGTTTAACTAAGGTCTTGAGAAAGTGCAAGTTAAGCACAAAACATGTACAATTGGGATTTGCATGTTTGGAGCTTATTGTATGCTACAATTTGTTTGTATTTGACTTTTTGATGAAGGAATGGATTTTAAAGCAATGCATCAATGGAATGTGTCTGGTGATGCCATACTCTTTATCTTCTTCTCAAAGGAAAATGTTCAGCTTGCAATGACAACATTGTACAGGAGTAAAGTCAAATCATAGTAATAAACATGGTGGTGCCTAGGGTAATCAGTTTGTGGTGAAAGTCTATAATCATTCAGTTGAGTGCAGTAGGATTTACCAAGGCCAGAGAACAGATGGGGGGGGGGAGAGGGGATATTCCTTATTATATTTTTATAAATTTGCCTGTCACATTATGAAACATACTTCTATGCAGACCTATGTAGTAGTCAAGACACCTAAAACGTTATCAGTCAGCTGCAACATGAGATCTAGCTGCTATGGCTGGCACCTGGAAAATATATATATTCATATTTCTCCTGTCTCCACACAGTCTGTATCTTGTCACAAGAGGTCATTTAAATGGGGCAGGCCCATATATGAGGACACAGGTCAGCTCAGGTGCCAGTTCGCCAGTTGTCCTTCTTGCACCATTTTTGGTATGTACTAACCACTGCATAATGGGAACACCTTACAATACTTGCATTTAGGCATGCTTTGACCCATTCGTCACACAGATCTTTTCGTTGGCCCATTTTTAAAAAATTTTTGCATCCAACACATGAAATTAAAGAACTGACTGTTCACGTGCTGCCGAATATATCCCACCCCATTGATGGGTGCCATTATAATCAATTATATTCACTAAACCTGTAAGCGTTTTTAATGTTGTTGCTGATCAGTGTGTATATGCCAAAGGTTTGATTGAGCATCTTTTCCCTATTCACCTTGGATAAACCTGCTGAATTAAAATTCTGTGCCACAAGGATCTGTTTCACACAGAGGTAAATAAAGAACTGTTTAGGCAGAAAAGTTTATTCCCTTTGGAGCTCTAGAAAGAGTTTTATATTCTCTGAATTGTGAAGGTGTGTCACTCTTCGCAGGATAAAACTTATAAGGAAAGGTTACGGAACTTCACATGTATAGCTTGGAGGAAAGACGAGATGGAGGGGAGGGGATATGATAGAAACATTTAAATACATAAAGGGATTCAACACAGTAAAGGAGGAGATTATATTTAAAAGAAAAACTACAACAAGAGGACATAGTCTTAAATTAGAGGGTCAAAGGTTTAAAAATATCAGGAAGTATTACTTACAGAGAGGATACTGGATGCATGGAATAGCCTTCCAGCTGAAGTGGTAGAGGTTAACACAGTAAAGAAGTTTAAACATGCGTGGGATAGGCATAAGGCTATCCTAACTATAAGATAAGGCCAGGGACTAATGAAAGTATTTAGAAAATTGGGCAGACTAGATGGGCCGAATGGTTCTTATCTGCCGTCACATTCCATGTTTCTATGTTTCTACCACTGCCAGCTTGATGTAATGGTGAAGGTCAAATGTTAGAAGACAAAAAGAGCGGACTGGGATGCTAAAAGAAGCTTGAGGGTGGGAGAGACCAATCTATCAATCCAATGAGACCAAATTTAAAGTGAGAATGCAGAATATTGAAGTGTAGGGCTATTGGCTGTTTAAAGATGTTTAGGCACTCCTAACAATGTTGTAGAGCGTAATGATGTATACAGGAATTCTCAGATTTTTGCCATAAGTGTTTCCGCTGAACCTCTAGTTTTGGAAATACTGCACACCCCTAAGCACTTTGTGCGAAGAGTGTCCCACACCCTATATTTTTTCCTGCCCATTTTACAAAAAATGCAGATTTTAATAGAAATTGTCACTTCTACAAATTAAGCTTGTTACACTCCACTGGGTGGCAATCAAACAACCCGTCCTATTTCTTCCTCAAGAAGCAGGTAATTGCTCACAGCACCTGCTTTGTGAATACTTTTGTGTCTGGGCTGGGAACAAATGGAATGACTTGCAAGGACAGCAAACAGAAAATCTGCAGCTTTTGCAAGTTGTTTTTTTAGATGTACCCCAATTAAAATAGGCATAATAAAATGCATGTCTTCATTAGGTGTATAATCAATTAACAGGGATTTGTAGATCTTTGAGTTTGGGCCTTAAGGATGGTGGGCGTTCTATGCTGTCCTTTTTTGGGTGGCTCTAAACGCCAGACAGGGTGCATAGAACGTGCCCACCGTCCTTTGTACTCACCGGGTCCCTGCCGATCCCACGCTGGAGGTTGCGATCCTAGGGTCTGCCTGGGAGCACAGACAGACCCCCTCTGCCTGATCCGGCCATGTGATCGCGGGGTCCTCACAAATTACATTGCTGAAATAGCTGGCTTGTGCAGTGCCTGCAGGGGAACTGCCTGAGCTCTCATTTTTTACATTGCAGCTCCAAGTCTGCCCTCAGTGGTTGTTTAACAGACAGCCACTATAGGGCTTCCGTAATCCAAACGGCCATTGCCGCACATGCGCATTAGGTCTCCCCCACTGGCTCACGTCGGCGGGCGAGGAGCGTGGGCAGTGCCTGAGCCAGCTCAGAGGGACATTGGCGATGGATTCAGGCTATCTGGAAAATAATCCTTTTCTTTTAAAAATGTTTAGGTTACTCTTGCTTTTAATTGCTGAAGCCAGATCTTGCATCCAAAGGGCTCAAATTTACATTCAAATCACCACTGGGTGTTAATTGTAAGGCACTACTGGGGTTCACAATCTGGTATGGATCAGTAAAAAGGGACCAGATTGTGTGTTTCTCAATGCTTATTTTTAGTAGTGAGACAGGTGTGATATTGTGCAAACATACCAGATTTTTTGTAAAAACGAACTGGTATAAGCTGAGACCATAAAAATGGGAATTGTAAACCACAGGAAATAGTAGGTCAGATAGGTTCAGCCCCCGAGGGAGGGGGGCACTCCAGGAGCCTATAGTGCCCTGTTTCTCCTGAACAAAATTATGTATAAGTGTGGGTGAACGTAATATGAAAGAGGTGAATTACACCTTTTTTTGTTGTTTACGTTTTGTTTTGATCACAACGTGTACAACTACCTCAGTCCTAAATGGGTTAATGTATCATGTTAAGAAATTAATACATTCAAAAAATAAATTACAAATATAAAAAACTATTAATTTTTTTATTTTTTATTTTTAAACGCATTCCTAGACATCAACCTAGAGATCTGGTGACAAAAAGTCTTTTGGCCAGTCATGGGGCTCTTTTTGGCTAATTCCTTAAGGTGTTTACCAGATAATTGCGCTCTGCTCCAAGACCAACTATAATATATCAAAAGTTTGGTATTGCTTCTTATTGCATTCAGAATTTTCAATACAAAACTTACATAGAAGTGGCAGATCTATTCTTAGTCCAAGACGGAGAAGAACCCACAGGCCTATGGTTATACCAGATAATCTTTCCTTGAACTGACCTCTGATTCATCAGATGCTGCAAGTACAGCCATCCCATGGCAGTCTGTAAACTCTCTGATTTCAGTCATCTGTCTGGGTTGTGTTTTTGTTGGTTACTTTTGGTGGGGTTTCAAAAGTTACTAAGATTTTGTTTTCAGGTTTTTTTAGATGATCTGTTGGCAAGTAGAAATCAAATTCAGCAAACTCTTCACTCGTCGGTGGAGTTATTTATTCTTGAAGTCGATGAATTGCCGCTTGAAGGACGCCAAACAAAATTAAAGGTAACTCCTTTAGAGTTATGTGATTTAATTTGTATAATTATTGGTTATATAAGTACTCAAAGTGCATTACAACACTCACAGAACTGTTCCCTTTAGTGATAATAGCCAGAGATTTAAAGTCTATTTAAAAATTAAGGCCAAGGTAGTCAAATTAGAAAAAATCTTCAAATTCGTTTTTTCAATTTAGCTATTTTAGTCTTAAATGTCAAATTTACTTTGAATCGCTTGCAATTCTCACTTTAGTGAAATATTTTTTTATTGTATACCATCGTAAATTTTTGAGTCAGAAATTTTGTACAGGTCTTAGGCGTTCAATTTAATGTTTTAACATCTTGTATTTAATTTTTTAAATATATATATTCATTTTTAACAATCTTTATTTTTATATTTAACAGTAAAGTACAGTACTCTTACATATGGAAAAAGAAAAAAATTGTATCACGTAAATAATTTGCTGTACATAGACACGGAGGACAGAGTTTTCAAGTTCTACAAATTTGTGCAAAATCCTCTCCACTAACTCCCATTTGGTATTTGAGCTGAACCCTAAGCATATCCTATGAATGGGAAGGGTGGAGAGGAGAGAGGGGGGAAAAATATTGAGGATATCTTCAAGTTTGGAGGTATAAGCAGAAGACTTGGTATTCAAGGCAGCTTATGTCTACCTGCGTGATATGTAACTTAGCAATGGTGTCCATGTCTGTGTGCATTGCTAGTGCCTTTTAAAAATGACTAGGTATATTTCCATCTACTGCTGGAGAGTGGTCGTAAACCGTTTCTTCCACATAGTGCTAATAAGGCTTTTTGCAGCTGTTAACAGTGGCTTTATAAGATATTTCTTATAGAGCTGTAAGGGCTTTGTAGTGTGGTCTAATACCATGGGTAAGGGCTAAGTGGGAGGGGTGTATCTATGAGCCCTGATGGAGGCATATGCACTTCTTTCAGTAAGCTGCAATGACCACCAGATGTTGAGACTGGGACCCAAAGAAAATTGGTTACCTGGTAATACTTCACGCATATATCTATACAACACCGCATATATATATATATATATATATATATATATATATATCTGCCTTAACATATATATATATGTATATATAGTGTGTGTGTGTTAAAGGCCATTAGGCCTGAATTTGTGGGAGGAGTTACTTATTTCATAAGCTCTCCCAATTTCTCACCTTTTGCCCGTTCAAGCTGATTGACCCCACCCACCTGCACCCATCATATATTACATTGTATCACCTTTGGGCCCTCTATTATTACAGGAGCCTACTGGATTCGTTGAAGGTTTGAGGCGCACACTCCAGCTAACTAGCCAAATATTCCTTATACACATTCCATAACCTAATATATTCCGAGCACACATATACACACACACACAAGATGTTGAAGAGAGCACTCCAGAGGATTTGTTTAACAAGTTTTATATGTGATGCAAAATGATCAACGTTTAGGCAAGAGGTCAACTTTTGTCAAGATGTGAGTACAAGTGAATAAGTTGTGTATATATAGGACATAAATAGTAATAATATAATCACTTACCCAGTGCAGGTGTGACCCCCAGATCCCTAAATGAACGCTGTGCTGTGCGCATGTGTGACCGGTGTGTGACGTCATCATACCGCGAACGAGAGGTCAGGAAGGCGTCTGTTTGCCATAGTGACGCGATATTGAAGAAAATAAGTGCATATGAAACGTGCATTTCGGTCAAAGTAAAATAAGAATAAAATGAGCAAGGAGGAAATGCAGAAAGGTGTACAGATGGTGTATACACAACAGATCTGTCAGTACCAAAAAATGAGGGGAAAGCCCAAACCAATTGAATAGTGGATGAGTGGATGAAAGGGGATGTGATCAGATCAGTTGTGTATACATCATCTGTACACCTTTCTGCATTTCCTCCTTGCTCATTTTATTCTTATTTTACTTTGACCGAAATGCATGTTTCATATGCACTTATTTTCTTCAATATCGCGTCACTATGGCAACCAGACACCTTCTCGACCTCTCGGTCGCGGTATGATGACGTCACAAGCCAGTCACACGCGCACAGCGTTCACTTAGGGATCTGGGGGTCACACCGGCACTGGGTAAGTGATTATATTATTATTTATGTCCTACATATACAACTTATTCACTTGTACTCACATCTTGACAAAGACCTCTTGGGTCGAAACATTGATCATTTTGCATCACATATAAAACTTGTTAAACAAATCCTCTGGAGTGCTTCAACATCTTGTATTTATCCACGCTGTGCAGCACCGAGGTTCATCTCAACGAACTCTTAAAGGTAGAGTGCCTGACTTCCTTACAATATATATATATATATATATATATATATATATATATATATATATATATATATATATATATATATATATATATATATATATATATATATAATATACACACACACACATCTCACTTTGGGTTTTAATTTTTATCAAGTTATGATGTACTGCTTAATGCTCTGTGCATTTCTTCTATTTGTAGGCATTGCTGCTTTCACTTAGTGCTGTTTATGGAACGCATGCCGAGAGTGAAGGTTTGGATTCTGTGTTTGATACATTTTTCAAGTGGAAACAGGCCAAAATGGAGCAGTTCAACTGTGTCAGAAATGACACTAACAATTCATTAGGATCCCTGTCCTCATGGTTCTATGACATCAAAGAGGTATTGTTTAAAATAAATATTAATCCTGAACACACACTTATAGATCATTTTAGAAACGTGACACAACTTTGGAATTCAAAGCTTTTATTTTTCTAATTTTAAATGAGTTACATGCAAAACAGGTGGCACATTTTAGCGTTACCTGTTTTCTTTTTCAATTTGTGTGTCTATTTTTTTATCACACCATGCTCTCATGGTGTAAACATTTTCATTTTAAGTGTAATCTCTCAGACCTGGCAATGGTAGCCTTGGGAAAATAACTATGCATACTAAAATTAACCTTCTTAAAGGGAAACTCCAGTGACAGGAAAATCAGTTTTCTTGGCACTGCAGGTAACCTCTCCCTCCCACCCCCCTCAGGTAAGTGACCTGAAGGGGTGAAAACCCCTTAAGGTCACTTACCTGAGACACCGCCGATGTCCCTCGGCGTTGGTTTCTTCTCGCAGCCGCTCCTCCCAGTCATTACGTCGGCCAGTGGCGAGACTGATCCCGCCCACTGGCCGGGGAGACCTAATGCATTAGAGCTCCCCATAGGAAAGCATTGAAAATACTGTTCAATGCTTTCCTATGGGGAATTGAGCGACGCTGGAGGTCCTCACACTGCCTGAGGACGTCCAGCGACGCTCTAGCACAGGTTTTCTGTGCTATAGAGCAGGAAGTGCCGTCTAGTGGCTGTCTAGTAGACAGCCACTAGAGGTGTAGTTAACCCTGGAAGGTAATTATTGAAGTTTATAAAAAAAACTGCAATAATTACACTTGCAGGGTTAAGGGTAGTGGGAGTTGGCACCCAGACTACTCCAATGGGCAGAAGTGGTCTTGGTGCCTGGAGTGTCCCTTTAAGATGCACTAAGTTTGCCTGAACTGTTAATGTTGTAAACCCACTCTGTTCAATAACTTTTATATAAAAATAGCATAACAATGTGTAAGCTACCACTTTCCTTTAATGTGCCAACAATAATTGGGCTTTTGCATCTTTCACTCTTTTTAGCTCTGTTTATCTATGGACACTAAAAAAGTTAACAAAGAAAAACATTTACATTTCCTAGCACTTCGGTTAGCATAAGGTGCATGGGACATTTTATTGTTAAAGTAATGCCAACTAATGTTTGGCATTTCACTTGCATTACGAAGTACCAAGTTTCTGGACTGTACAGTGGTAAACATATTGCCTACAATAATCATGGCTAAATACTGATAAAGAAAGCTTTTGTGAGTTTACAATCAAGTGTAATGCTATCCCATGAATGTGTCCTTAATAAATTAGCTATAAAATGACAACTGAGGGGCGAAGCTAGCAACGGTGCTGCACGGACGCAAGCTTAGACAGCTCCGGCTGACCGATCACAATCTCGCCTATATCCAAGTCCACTCACACAATCGGAAAGCCCAACACTCTGTAAAGGACGCAGGAGCTACACCCGCACCGATTGATGCCCTTCTTTCTCCCTAAAAACGCGCCCAGGCGGAGACGCAGGCCAGGGGGCCTACACCACACGAGAGACCCCGGACTTGGGACTTCTCGGCGGAGTATATGACCATTGCTTACCTAACCCCAACCTTCGTCAGAACCTGAACCAGTGACCCAGATGCCAGCCATGGGACGGAGATCCCAAAAACAAAACCCTCCGTCCGCTCACCGAGACATCGGAGCTTTGCTCCAGAAACAAGCGCAACCCAAGATGGCGCCCACGGAGTGCATCTCTGCCGCCACACCGGCCGCAGCACCCGACGAACGGCACTCACAAGAGAGGGCTACTACACTCCCCACACCACAAGTACCTGCAGAGACTGCAGAGGACTCTTGTCCCACAATTAAACACGACCTGAAGGTCCTGCTGCACGACTTCCACAAGGTGCTCGCAGCTGAACTCGCAGTACTAAGGTCATATATTCAAAACACAACTGACAGAGTGCGAGCCACTGAAGAGGACATAATGAATATATTGTACCTCAAGTTAGCTTTCTAGGACAAAGACTAACTATATACGCTTAAATTATTGTACAATTCTTATGACTTTGATAACTGCAAATTGGCATCACCTATATCCTTTTTAAATCAATGCTTGTATGTTATTTCCCAAATATTTTCCCAAGTTGTTTTGCCAAACTCCCTTTGCCTTTGGAAAGTACCTGCATATTTGCCTCTAAAAGTCTTTTGCTCTTTCTATTCCACAAGTTTTTTGATCTGACAGCTGACACATCCTTGAGTGCTTCTGATGTTGTAGGAAACATTGATGATATACTAAACAAAGTTGAGTCGGACATCTCAAAAGAACTGGAAATCTCACTTATGGTATGTGTGTTAATCACTTCTCTGCTTAGCTCTCTTCTCTTACCTCTACCCAGATTCTCTCTCTCATTCCCCCATTTATCTCCTCCCACTTAATCTGAATTAGCCATGTCCCAACTCTCCTTTGGTACCCGCTTTTGTCACATTTCTCTTTGTTACCGGTCTTCTACTACTGCTTTCTTGTGTGGAATGCTATCCACTGTGAAATGAGCTGTATCACACTAGGAAAAGTGATATATTTTCCCCACCTTTTGCAATGTTTTCTGCCATACTTTGTTCACATCAGGGCTATACTGACTTTTTTTTTTTTCCTTCTTCTATGTGTTAGGATTCAATACACAACATAAGTACTCTGCATACATTTAATCTTTAGTAATGTCATTAGTTTCCTCACAAATAAGCATGTTGCTTCTTGCAGAACACTCCTGGTCTTCATCATTCTTTCCCTTTGAGTTTGGCCTGCCAGTCTTATTTTCTTGGCAAAAAAGAAAGATGGACCCTTTCACATTCCAGGCTCTATAGAGTACCCTTTGTGGCTTATCAAATTGAATATCGGCACACTGTTATATAGGAGATGCTTTATTTTCCTTTCAGTGGCTTCTTTTCAGTAGTCTCTATTTTTTTCTGAGGTACATCTAAAAGCTATACTGAATTAAAAAGAATGTGAAAAAGTAACAATTTAAATCAAAACATGCCAAGTGCCAACCCCTCCTTCCCCCACAAATACAACTTCAACCCCAGAAAAGAACAGTCTTCCCTTTCTATCCAGACAAAATTGGAGCTTGTGCAGCTATTACCAGGAAAATGATTGAATCAGCTTGACACTTTTGTGAATGGAGACCAGAGGGATAGCCAGTTATAATATAGTGCTTTAGAGGTCAGTAGTGTCCAGGGTTATTTACTGAAATAATTCAAAGTGAATTTCAGATTCAAAGTTAAAATAGGCAACCTGGAAAAATTCTTACTTATTCTGTCAGTTTGACTACTCTGGTATTAAATTTTATATTCTTACTTTAGTTAAAAACCCTGCTAGATAGACTTACATACTGTGAACCTTTGTTTTTAAACTTTTTTTTTCCTCTGACTAAGCATTTGTGTAATTAATGTAATCTACTTCAACTTTAGCAACATAGACAAATTTCCCAAAAAATCACACCAAACATTTATTTAGAACTTGGCTTATTATTAGCTGAGGTTACGTTGAGAAAAGATGTTAAAACAAATGTGCTCATTTTGATATTTAATGTAAAGGTTATTAAAAGAAATTCAAATTTTTAGGCCAAAATGTCTGATCTGGAAAAAGCCAGCAACTTTATGTTAATTTTGGCCTAAAATTTCAAATTCAAACCCAATTCCTGTATGTAGTAATATATATTATGATGTAATTTAAAAAAATTGTAACCTTAGTTTTAATGTGATGCAGGAACAAAATGAAGAAGACAAGAAAATAATAAGAAATGCATACAACAGGGTTGTGGAATTGATTCATCAGGAACTTGCACTCATCTCCGTTATTCAGTCGAAATATTCATATAGTGTTGAGGTAAACGTTGGTCTAGAATGTTTTTGTTTAATGTGTAGAAGAAGATATACATAACTGACATCTTCATCCTCCTATACAAGATGATGGAAAAATTAATGATTGTAGTACTCCTCTCTCAAAAAAAATGTTACTATAGAAACTGCATATTTTAATTTAAGGAGCGGTGCTAGAACCTGAGGGAGATAGACCTCATTCTTAACCGTTTACCTTTATTAAAATTAGATACATTCTTCCTTTTCGGTATGTAGATATATATATTATTTCGTTCTATGTGTATTTTGATAATAAATAAATATATATAATCACAATACAGTTAGAACGAAATAACACACATCTATATATTTTTTTTTTTTTTTTTTAATTCTTTATTTATAGAGTGCAAGAAATAACATAGTGTTCAGTAAGCCACAACAGCCTCTGTACACAGAGTGATAACAAGTCATATAAAACAGAGTTATGGCATTTGTATATATCGCACATTTTTTAGATTTTATAGTATGCTTAACTTACAAGCTAAATAGTAAATGGCTGGAGCTACTGTTAAGGGAAAGTGGCTGAGCTTTGTGTATACATAGGCATGTTGCTAATCATTTTAAAGTGATACAGTAAATAAAGCATGAGGGAATGCATATAGCTAACAGCTAATGAAGACTTGCTGCAATTGTGCCACTAGGTCCCAGTCGCAAGCTTCTTGGTTAGAAGTAGCTCCGTTTTGCCCAAAGAACATAATAATAAAACATAAGCAGAGACATAATAATAAAAAGGACACAAGAACAAAAACAAAATACCCCTGGTTGAGAATAAGCTGGGGCACATATATGGCCTGAGTCCTTGTGGCTGACAGGTAGCAGTGTGCTGTTAGTTCAGCCTATGCCCGATAAGTAATGTCCAGACTGCCAAGAAGAGTGTGAGCTCCCTTTCACCGTCTTATATATCTGTCGTCGGTGTTGTGTCTTGTATATGCGTGCGCTGTGTAGCTGTGGTGTACCTGGTCCGGGCTGTAATCTGGAGCCGTCGTTGGCTGGGTGTGAGACGGGTGGCTTTGTCTTTCTGCCTCTTAGATCTGTCCGGACGGTGTTGGCGATGCGGTGGGCAGTTGATGTCTGCAGGCTTTCATTCCGGTTGTGGAGCTTTGTTTGTTGTGGGCCGCGATGACCCTGTCGGGTGGAGGGTGGTCCGCACGAGCCTCCCACAGGAGTCTTTGGCGCCTTTGCTCCATTATTGTGTGTTGTCTTGGGGCGGTCCATGTCCGTCCGTCGCTTCCACCACCGGGCCACAGTACCCTGCACCCGCTCTTTCAGTGGCAACGCTTTGCTTGGATGCTTTTCATGTTTGCGGGGGGGTGTGTGGCGGCGTGCTGCCGTTGTGGCTGGTTTCTGTACCGGTTGCGAGCTTCTCTCCCGCATTCGTTCCCAGAATCTCAGGCAAACAGCATCGAATTTCGCATTGAAGGCTGCTGCCCATTCTTCATTAGTCTGCTGCATCAGTTTAGCGGCTGCACAGTCGGCCATATTAGCTGGGCCTTGTGGGTTTGCCTGAACGGCGTTGTGTCGTGATGTGTCCCAGAGGTGGGTGCTCTTAGGGCGCTGGTGGACCGGGATGACCCCCACCGGTCCAGAGGGGGGGGACAGGTGCCCTTCTTCACTAGGGGCTTCTTTCGTGGGGGGGGAGAGCGGCCGTCTCTCCTGCTCCCGCCTTTCGAGTAGGCCTCAGTTACTTGTTCTGCAAATATTGCTCGGTTCGTCGCTTGATGGGTATCTTTGTGCTCAGATATTTGTCCCCTTTCAATTGCTGGCTTTGTTGGGCCGGTTGGTCGCCGTTTGGGTCGTGTAAAGCGGCTTTTCATGCGGGCTATAGCAGGAGCCCTTGAGGATGTCGACCGCTCGGCTTTGCAGTCAGGCCCCGCCCCATCTATATATTTTTTAATTATTATTTTTTTTTAATTTTAAAATTTTATTTTTGAACGTATTTACATATTTAATTTTTTTATATTATTTATATATATATATATATATATATATATATATATATAACAATAATTATATATTTATTTAATCAGTATCAGTCTACGTGTAATTTTATATATATATATATATGGCAAAGATTTTTTTATATATATATGTATATATATATATATATATATATATATATATATATTAATAGTAAAATACACCTAGACGGTGTACGTGTGTGTATATATACTTAGATCATATATATAGAATATATATATATATATATATATATATATATATATATATATATATATATTTATTTTTTTTTTTTTTACACTAATAAAATTTTAATTTTTTTTTCAGCCAGCAGGGGGACCACCTGTCATTACAGGCAGCCCCCTGCTGGCAATGCAGGAGGCAGCTACCCGGCCATGTGATTGTGGGGTCCTCGCAGGACCCCACTCTCACATGGCGGGGCAACGAGGAGGAGGATCTGCCTCCCTGGGAGTCACTTTCCGTCATGATCGCCGGGCGGGACCGCCGACGACCGGTAAGCAAAAAACCGGAGGGCGTACAATTACGTCCTGGCGGCGTTTAGAGCCGCCTAAAATAGGGCGTAATTGTACGCCCTCCGGTCAGAAGGGGTTAAGCATGCGTGGGATAGGCATAAGGCTATCCTAACTATAAGATAAGACTAGGGAGTAATGAAAGTATTTCGAAAATTGGGCAGACTAGATGGGCCGAATGGTTCTTATCTGCCGTCACATTCTATGTTTCTATGTCTATGTTTCTGTTATCACTAGGCTGTAATGTAAACACTGCATTTTCTCTAAAAAGACAGTGTTTACAGCAAAAAGCCTGAAGGTAATGATTCTACTCACCAGAACAAATTCAATAAGCTGTAGTTGTTCTGGTGACTATAGTATAGTATCCCTTTAATTATTGGAATGCAAAATTTTATCACACATTCAAAGCTATTGCCTATCCATGTCTACACTTTCTTATTATCAAGTAAAGGGTTTTTCGGTGTTGAATCTCCTAGATGAGTGCCTTTTATCATAAACGGAGTTACTCAGAATAAAGCCAATTTCCCTTTCTGCAGGTATTCTATTTTAGCATTTCTCCTACCTGTGGGCATACAGAAGATGGTATCTCGCTTCTAGTCCACATGTTAAAGTATTTGCCCAAAGTGTATGATGCATATAGACTTTAAGGCGATAACCAGAAATAAAAATCTCTATAGCAAGCCTATTAACGTGAACCAAGGGTGTTTTTGCTATGAGTATAGACTAATACGTACCCGTCATTCCCTCCTCCTTTTGTATGCACAAAGAGTCTTTACTCTTTTAAGGGATGGGTGCACATTTATGTTTAATTGCTAAATGTTTAGGAACCTCTCTACTTCACTAGACTAGAGATTTGGGGAGCACAGAGCCTTTATGAATCTTGGGAATCTGTCACCTTTGATTGTCTGGCTACCTATTTGGCCGTTTACAGTAATATTTTGCCATGTTCAGGATGGTCCTAACTAGGCAATTGTATGCAGTCACTCTAGAGTCATTCTTCCTTTTTTTGGTTCTCTTTTTATTTTCAAAATAAGCAATTTTCCTATTATGTTGTACATTTGTTTTATTTTGTCAAAATTTGTAATAAAAAGCTTTTTATTTCAGTTTAAAAAGAACATTGTTGAATGGCTTGATAAAAGCCCCAATGTTGACCACTTAATGTCAGTCAAGAAGAATATCAAACGACTTAAAGCTCAGCTGAGATGGAAAATTGTTGAGAGAAGCACTTTGGAAGAGGTATTCATCTAGGTTAACAATTTTTCTTTAACTAATCTTTAGTATTCATTAAGTCAGATTAGAATGGTCTAGTTATGTTTTAAATTACATGCAATCATGATTGCCTTATAGCCGTGTGTGTATTTACAAAAAATAAAAAAAACAGTGCAGTATCTAATTATAATGTTGAAAAAACCCCATCTTTATTTATTCTTAAATGTTCCCTTTATTTTTCTATAGCAAGTGCACAATACTGTTATTTTAAAGGAAAACTATAGCGCTAGGAGTACAAACCTGTATTACTAATTCTGTAATGTTCTCTCCCACCCTCCCCCTTTCTTTTTTTTTTTTATTTTTTTTTTGCAATAAAGATTTTTTTTTAAAAGTCTTACCTAACTATTTACTCCACCTAGGCTCCATCGAACTGCTTGCCTAAACTTCATAGAGGAGTAATCGGGACCTAATGTGCATGTGCGTTGAGTGCCTTCAAGCTCCCCCATTGGAAAATATTGCACTTAATGCTTTCTGTGGGCTATAACCTCATGTACAGTACTGCAGAAGGTCCTTTCAGTGTCTATGACCATAGTATGACAGCCACTAGAAGTGGACCTAACCCTACAATGCAATGTAAACCAATGTAAAAGGACAGGTCTGTTCAGCTGAAATGATCTGTTTAATGTGACAGATGTGAAATTTCCAAGGAGTTCTGGCTGAGCACAATGGGTTTTGCACTTCTGTCATAAACTGTGACAGAGTGAGAGAAGGACCTGGCTGAAAAATTACACTAATCTGTGGGATGGGAGCCTGCACCTGGTCTCACCCATTAAGTATACCCAACACTATATTGTCCAGAGCAGTGGTTCAAAAACCAGTCCTCATGGACCACCAACAATCCAGAATTTATGTATTTCCCTGTTTTATTCAAATGGAGATACTGGGAAAAACTGATCCAAAGGATTGGGGAAAGGGAATGGCAGACAGGTCAGCTGCCTGCCACCTCCATTTTCAAGTTATTAAATTACAAAGCGGGTGCTCTATCCATATAATTCCATAAACATTAAGCCGTTTCATGGTCTAATTTCATCTAGCAAACAATTTTTTGTTGTTGATTTTATTAAAAATTAAATCCTTTCATGCCTATTTCTGCTGAAAAAAGAAATGTTGATTTATTTATTTTTTTAATTTTTTTTTTTATTATTATTAATGTGCATTCATAAAAAAAAAAATCCCCACAACCATGAAGCCCATATAATTATGTTCCTTTCGGTTTATGAATAAATACAATATCCGGGTAAGAGAAGGTTTTCATCTAAACAGCATTAGTTATGTTTGCCCCCTTTATGATTTTACAGGCAGATGAATACAGTGAAACAATACTTGCGGAGATAAGTCATGACATAGCAGTGCTAAGGAATAATATATTTTCTGAAATAAGTCAAGAGCAAGAAGAATATGTGAGTAAAAACACTGGAACTTTAGTGAATTACTATCATTTCTTATAATTAAAATTTCAAAGATGTTTATATGCATGTTATGAATAAAAAATCAGTATTAAATTAAAATAAGGGATTTAGTTTTTAAAAAATATTTTTTTTTGCCATCTCTAAATTAAAGGAATACTCCAAGCACTACTAACACTACAGCATGCTGATGACTGTTGCACCACTTACTTGCTGGTCACTTCCTCCATTAATACTCCTGCACAGAGTTTCCATTAGCTCTCCTGAGCTTCAGTATTTATTAAGGAGGTGACCTCATGGGCATTCATGGCACCATAAACCTATGTTTTTATATATATTAAGTCAGATTAGAATGGTCTAGTTATGTTTTAAATTACATGCAATCATGATTGCCTTATAGCCGTGTGTGTATTTACAAAAAATAAAAAAAACAGTGCAGTATCTAATTATAATGTTGAAAAAACCCCATCTTTATTTATTCTTAAATGTTCCCTTTATTTTTCTATAGCAAGTGCACAATACTGTTATTTATATATATATATATATATATATATATATATATATATATATATATATATATATATATATATATATATATATATATATATATATATATATATAAATAATCTCATAGGTTTATGGTGCCAGGAATGCCCATGAGGTCAACACTATAATATATATATATATATATATATATATATATATATATATATTAATATTATATAGTGTTGCAAGAAAAAGTACTGCACAAATTGGTCATAAAATGTGATCTGATAATCATCTAAGTCACAACAATAGACAATCACAGTCTGCTTAAACTAATAACACACAAAGAATGAAATGTTGCCATGTTTTTATTGAACACACCATGTAAACATTCACAGTGCATGTGGAAAAAGTATGTTAACCCTTGGATTTAATAACCGGTTGAACCTCCTTTGGCAGCAATAACTTCAACCAAACGTTTGCTGTAGTTGCAGATCAGAAGTGCACAATGGTCAGGAGTAATTCTTGACCATTCCTCTTTACAGAACTGTTTCAGTTCAGCAAAATTCTTAGGATGTCTGGCGTGAATCGCTTTCTTGAGGTCATGCCACAGCATCTCAATCGGGTTGAGGTCAGGACTCTGACTGGGCCACTTCAGAAGGCGTATTTTCTTCTGTTTAAGCCATTCTGTTGTTGATTTACTTCTATGCTTTGGGTCATTGTCATTTTGCAACACCCATCTTCTGTTGAGCTTCAGCTCGTAAGTTCTCCTTCAAAATGTCTTGATAAACTTGGGAATTCATTTTTCCTTCGATGATAGCATTCCGTGCAGGCCCTGATGCAGCAAAGCAGCCCCAAACCATGATGCCCCCACCACCATACTTCACAGTTGGGATGAGGTTTTGATGTTGGTGTGCTGTGCTTTTTTTTTCGCCACACATAGTGTTGTATGTTTCTTCCAAACATCAACTTTGGTTTCATATGTCCACAGAATATTTTGCCAGTACTGCTGTGGAACATCCAGGTGCTCTTGTGCAAATTGTAAACGTGCAGCAATGTTTTGTTTTGACAGCAGTGGCTTCTTCTGTGATATCCTCCCATGAAATCCATTCATGTTTAGTGTTTTACGTATTGTAGATTCACTAACAGGGATGTTAGCATTTGCCAGTGACTTTTGTAAGTCTTTAGCTCACACTCTAGGATTCTTCTTCACCTCATTGAGCAGTCTGCGCTGTGCTCTTGTAATCATCTTTACAGGACGGCTACTCCTAGGGAGAGTAGCAGCAGTGCTGAACTTTCTCCATTTATAGACAATTTGTCTTACCGTGGACTAATGAACAGCAAGGCTTTTGGAGATACTTTTATAACCCTTTCCAGCTTTATGCAAGTCAACAATTCTTAATCGTAGGTCTTCTGAGAGCTCTTTTGTGCGAGGTATCATTCACATCAGGCAATGCTTCTTGTGAAAAGCAAACCCAGAACTGGTGTGTTTTTTATAGGGCAGGGCAGCTGTAACCAACACCTCCAAGCTCATCTCATTGATTGGACTCCAGTTGGCTGACATCTCACTCCAATTAGCTCTTGGAGATGTCATTAGTCTAGGGGTTCACATACTTTTTCCACCTGCACTGTGAATGTTTACATGGTGTGTTCAATAAAAACATGGCAACATTTCATTCTTTGTGTGTTATTAGTTTAAGCAGACTGTGATTGTCTATTGTTGTGACTTAGATAATGATCAGATCACATTTTATGACAAATTTGTGCAGAAATCCACACCAAAGGGTTCACATACTTTTTCTTGCAACTGTGTGTGTATGTGTGTATATATATATATAAAATATAAAATATATATATATAATATTTTTTTTTTTTTATTATTACTGATTTACATTTTGCTAGAACATATATACACACACACTTGGATAATCTAATTTCTAATTTATCTCTTATAGGGGACATTGAGTATACTAGTTCAGAAATGGTTTCCTGAGCTTCCTCTTATTCACCCAGAAGCAGGAATATTAAGATACATGGTGAGAAATTGTATACATTATTTGTGTGTTTGTGTCTCTGTCCAAATTTGTATTGTTATATACCTAACAAAGTTATGTCTCACTCTTAACACTTACTCAACAATGCTCTTTTGCTACACTCTAAGTAAATGTTTTATATACAGGACAGCTTCCAATGAATTTTTGGGTGGGTGTGCACAGCATCAGTGCAGCGGGGAGCTACAGCTATAGCCCTTAAGAGTTTCAGATCTGTAAAATTAAAATCTAAAGAGATCCACATTTATAAGGTTCCATTAAAGTCACAGTACAAAAATTTTCAGATGAATAAAAAAAAAAAGGAAAAATGTATGGATAAAGATGGTTCTCTAAAACCGTAACCTAATGTATTTTAAAATTTTTTTTTTTTAAATTCATGTTGGTAGTGCAGGGTCAAGACAAAATCGGCGACATATTTTCACAATAGACAGTGTTGAAAATACATACATATCTAGCGTTATGCACTTTAAATTTCTTTTTTCAGCGGTACCTCCAGTTCCTGGGCACACAATACGGTGTCCGCCTCATGTCAATCTTCTGCCAGAGTGTGTCTGGGCTGTGCAGGCCTTTGCAACATTGCCCAGATGTCTCTATGATCTGGGGGCAGGTTTTTGCGATCTGCAACCCATTGCCAGCATGCAGACTTGTACAGGGAGCAGCGTGAGGGCGAGGTAGCGCGGCTCTCCTGCTTTCAGCAGGGTCTTTGCTAAGGAGGGCCTAGAGGCCAGGGATTGGCAGTATGTGCATGACCCCAGACCTCTGTCGCCGTTAAGGCTGCTTTTGGGTCTGGAAGAAAGGCATCAATCGATGCAGCCTGGGCAGGAGAATTCAGTGGTGGGGTTTGTAAGGCTGGATTGGCATCTGGTTTGCCGATGTAAAGCAGATTGTAGGCTTTCCTTGAGGAGCTTAAAGGAGCACTAGAGTGCCAGGAAAACAAACTAATTTTCCTGGCACTATAGGGTTGTTAGGCCCCCCCCCCCCCCCCCTCAGGGCCCCCCTTCAGCCACTTGCCTTATTCCAGCGCCAGTCTCCCTCGGTGCTGGTGACCTCTCCTCCCCCTGCCGACATCGGCTCCGCATGCGCGGCCAGAGACGCGCACTCGCATTCAAACCGCTCATAGCAAAGCATTATTCAATGCTTTCCTATGGATGTCCAGCATGAAGCGGCCTCTAGTGGCTGTCAGGGAGACAGCTACTAGAGGCAGCATTAACCCTCAATGTAAACATAGCAGTTTATCTGAAACTGCTATGTTTACAGCTGCAGGGTTAAAACTAGGGGGTCCTGGCACCCAGACCACTTCATTGAGCTAAAGTGGTGTGGGTGCCTATAGTGGTCCTTTAAGGAAATGGCGTCTGGTTAGGTCTGCAAGCAGGTTCTAATGCATTATTTTTATTACAAAATTCTGAAACATTTTGTAGCCTTTTTTGTTGCTATTGATTAAAGTTTTATTGCTTTTTTTCAAATACAGAAGATACAGTTCGCAATAGTATATAGAGAAAATATGTTGCGTAGGGGTTCAGAAAAAGAAAGGGGTAACAATGTTGTGCACAGTACATCTTGTTCATGCAGTGACAACCGTGATCAACATACATACAGCACATTGTTTTTCCTGCCCAAACACCGAACCCTAGCTCACAACCTGTTCTGCTGGTTAGTCAAGGTAGGGCAACTCAATATGTAAACACTTGAGTAATTTTAGATGTACACTTTGTTTTGTGTACGCAAATCACCTTTTTTCCTTATCTTATCACATTTGAAAGTGTAAAAGGTGACATTACACTTGGGTAATTTTAGCTGCACCAGTTTTTAGAAAGATTAGCGCCACTGTGTTCTTTTCTGTTTTACTATTTATACTACAACCCAATATATCGCCCGTGGCTGATATCCACCCATTGTGAGTCTATCCCACCAGTCTAGTCATGGTTCCTCTGGTTTCTGTGTCTCTCCTCCTCTAATTGACAGTAGCATGTTTTGAGTGGGGCAAACCTATTCCTTCCACTGCTTCCAGTGCTGGGCTATAAGGTTCCTAGTTGCCATTATGATTATGGCTGTTAATTGTTTGGTAGCCTTTGTAAGGCCCATGGGGAATAAAATAAAAGTTTATGTGGAAGGTGATTTGGGAATATCCTTGATGTTCAATATGGAGAGTATCATTTCCACTTCTGTCCATAAAGGTTGAATAGCTGTGCTTTCCCACCATATGTTGGTCATGGTTCCCTCAGCAGTACTGCATCTCCAGCAGGTTGCAGGCACTGATAGGAATATGTTGTGGAGTTTGCTCGATGTCAGAAACCACCTGTATACTAACTTTGTGTGTGCTTCCATGTCTGAATAGCACTTAGAATGAGTTCAATACCTTGAAAGGCCTTACGGACACCCTCGACCAGAGGGTTCCGTCGCCCATTGTGCCATGAGGCTTTTCTGGTATATTATCTATTAACCTCTTAAGAACACATGACATGTGTGACATGTCATGATTCCCTTTTATTCCAGAAGTTTGGTCCTTATGGGGTTAAAGGACCAGTATAGTGCCAGGAAAACAAACTTGTTTTTCTGGCACTATAGTTCCCTGAGGGTGCCTCCACCCTCAGGGTCCCACTCCCGTGGCGCTGAAGGGGGAGGAAAGGGTTAATCCCTTACCTTTTTTCCAGCGCCGGGACTCTCCTCCCTTTTCTTCCGTCATCAGCTGAATGCGCATGCGCGGCATGAGCCGCGTGCGCATTCAGCCAGTCTCATAGGAAAGCATTATCAATGCTTTCCTATGGACGCTGGCGTCTTCTCACTGTGAAAATCACAGTGAGAAGCACGGAAGCGCCTCTAGCGGCTGTCAATGAGACAGCCACTAGAGGCTGGATTAACCCTAGTGTAAACATAGCAGTTTCTCTAAAACTGCTATGTTTACAGAAAAAAGTCTTAAACCTAGCTGTACCTGGCACCCAGACCACTTCATTAAGCTGAAGTGGTCTGGTTGTCTATAGGTGTCCTTTGATGCCGTATAGCATTTGGAAAGTGATTTAGGTTTTCCAGGGAATTTCTTGCATTTCTGGCGATGAGCGTGTATCTTGAGAAGACACATGCGCTGATATAATGCCTTTGATTTGTAGGTAGTGAAAGGTTGAGGCGTTTGGTATCGGGTATTTGCGTTGCAAGTCTGGGAAGGGTGAGATCCGTCCCTGGTCGCACAAATCGCTCAGCGAAGTGACTCCCACATCTTGCCAGGGTTTGGCAGATATCCATCGGGACAGATGCTGGATCGCCATGATAGGTGTGTTGAGATGAAATTTATTGTTATAGTTTTGTTTTCTGAAAGTGATCATGTAGCTTTTGTTATATTTCTATCATGGACTCTGTTAATTCTGAAAATCATTATTTTTTTTCAAAAATACAAAAAGTGTGAAACCTCTGTTTCCTTAAAGGACCATTATAGGCACCCAGACCACTTCAGCTCAATGAAGTGGTCTGGGTGCCAGGTCCATCTAGGGTTAACCCTGCAGTTGTAAACATAGCAGTTTCAGATAAACTGCTATGTTTACATTAGGGTTAATCCAGCTTCTAGTGGCCGTCTCATTGACATCCGCTACACCCTGTTCCAAATTAATATGCAAATTATATTTTTCTCATTTACCTAAATAATTGATGTTAATAACAGCATAATTCTCATGTTATCAACGATTAAGAGTACAATTCAAATTTTATTGAACAATCCTCCTAATGATAACAGTATTTTTTTTTAAACATAAAAAACTTACAATGCACTGTTCCAAATTATTACGCACAGTAAGTTTCAAAACACTTTATAGGTTGTAAAGAACTGAAAATTTTAATTTGTTGTGTTTGCAGCATATTTACTGAAATCAAGTTATTTCAATCAAACCTATAACAACATTTTAACTTTTTAAACATTTTTACAGGTCACGTTACATTTTAACATAGGACCCCTTATTTGATAGCAGATTCACAAGTCTTGCATCCATTGAACTTGTGAGTTTTTGGACAGTTTCTGCTTGAATTTGTTTGCAAGATGTCAGAATAGCCTCCCAGAGCTGCTGTTTGGATGTAAACTGCCTCCCAACCTCATAGATCTTTTGCTTGAGGATGCTCCAAAGGATCTCAATAGGATTGAGGTCAGAGGAGGATGGAGGCCACACCATGACTTTCTCTCCTTTTATCCCCATAGCAGCCATTGATGCAGAGGTATTCTTTGCAGCATGAGATGGTGCATTGTCATGCATGAAGATGATTTTATTACGGAAAGCATAGCTCTTCCTTCTATACCAGGGAAGAAAGTGGTCAGTCAGAAACTCCACATACTTTGCAGAGGTCATCTTTACACTTTCGGGGACCCTAAAGGGTCTCTTCCAGGATTCCGGCCCAAAACATGACTCCACCACCGCCTTGCTGACATCGCAGCCTTGTTAGAACAGTGTGGCCGTCCACCAACCATCCACTAGTCCATCCATCTGGACCATCCAGGGTTGCACGGCACTCAGTACTGTTTGAAAATTAATCTTCATTTATTTTTCTGCCCAATGCAGCCATTTTTGCTTGTGAGCATTGGTTAGTGGTGGCAGAATAGAAGGTTTATGCACAGTTGCAAGACTCTCGAGGACTCTACACCTTGATGTCCGTGAGACTCCAGAGGCACCAGCAGCTTCAAATATCTGTTTGCTGCTATGTAATGGTATTTTAGCATCTGCTCTCTTGATCCGATGCATGGATCTGGCAGAAATCTTCCTCAATGTGCCTTGATCTGCACGAACCAGTCTGTGCTCTGAATCAGCCACAAATCTCTTAATAGTGCGATGATCACGTTTAAGTTTTCCTGAAATATACCTTTTTCATACCTTGTCCAAGGCATTTAACTATTTCACTCTTTTCGGCAGCAGAGAAATCCTTTTTCTTCCCCATATTGCATGAAAATGGTGCTCTGCTTAATAATGTGGAACACCCTCCTTTAGTAGTTTTTCCTTAAATTGGGCTCACCCGGCAGTCTTATTATCACAGGTGTCCGAGATTGTTTTCAGTGATCAAAAGAGCCCTGAGACACCATGCCATCCATGAGTTATACTGAAAAACAAGGGGGTGTGACTTGGCGCCGAAAGAGAATGGCAGCCTTAACTCACAGCTCCGAGCCCTGCAGCCCAATCCCGCAACAATCAGCACCCCCAGAGACCCGATGGGCCGCACAAAACGTGCACAAATGACCCCGTCTACACCAAGGACACAGAAGGACGGTCTATCCGCGCCTACCTGCATACCCCGGGGATCCTCGCCTCGCAACACGAGGCATCCAACATGGCGCCTGCCTCCCCAGGATCCACAGTGTCGGGAGACAGCCTGAACACCACCGCTGGCACCTGCAACACAGAGGGACCCTCAAAAAACTGGTATGCCCTATTTGACTCCCTCCCAAAGAAGGAAGACCTGCACACTATAGTTCAGGAGGTAAAATCAACTCTCTGAACAGAGATAGCCTCACTGCGCACCTCCCTGTCAGACTTGGAGGGAAGAGTGACCGCATTGGAATCTGCAGGCCCAGTACCCCAGCAAACACGCAACCATGACAGACAGCTTATGGACCTGCGGCTCCATGTTGAAGATTTAGACAACAGGAGCCGCAGGAATAAAATAGTGAGAGGGCTACGCGAAACAGCAGGCCCAGAAAATCTGAGAGAGACTCTAACTCCACTCTTTAACATCATACTGAACAGGCTCCCTGAAGCACGCCTGTATATTGACAGAGCACACCGCACTCTTCGCCTGAAACCGCCACCAACAGCACCGCCAAGAGACGTCATCTGCTATATACAAGACGTCCAGCTGAAAGAAGACATCTTGAAGGGAGCACGCACAGAAAGAACATGGCGGTACAAAGGCCAAAACGTGGAACTCTACAATGACCGTTCCCACCTCACCCTGCAAACGCGCCGAGCCCTCAGACCGGTCACAACTATCCTCCAGGAACACCATTTAAGATACCGATGGCACTTCCCGTTTGCACTTACAGCAAGGAAGGACAACATAGAGGCCACAATACGACTACCAGCAGATGTCTCCCTCTTCCTGGATACGCTAGGTCTACCAGCCACCCTGGTAAGAGACTGCACAGATTGCCTCCTCAACGAGAGAAACTTAGGCAGACCAGTAATCCACCCTCTCGGAGCAGATGGAGTGGACATGGGCACTGTCCCGCCCCACAAAATAGCACACAAAGAATAAAGCTTGGAGACAATGGAGACCTGACCAGCGAGAGAACTCAAGTAGACCCCACGTTGTCACCCTAGAACGGACATGACTCCTCCACAGTGACTAAACCGGTTCAAGGAAAGAAGCCCACATAAACTATACTGTGGACTAACTTCCACACGTAACCTGCCTCCCCCTTCCCCCCACCACCTCAGAAGATGGAACCCATGCCCTGCTCGCCCCTCAAGACAAATTACACCGAAACACGCCGCTACTGAGGAAGAGACCGACCGGGGAACCCGGAACATACAATGAGCAAGGACAAACAAACTGTGTGAAAATAATTTTTTTTTTTTTCCTTCTTTTTGGACACCAAGACTACCCTCACTGTAACACACCATCCTCACGGACACACCCAGAAGATCCAGCCTACGAATACCTGGTGTCGTATATATGTCTTGTAATAAGTGATGCCACACTGTATTGTTAGAGCCACTAACACCACCCTAGTAGACTCCGTGGCGCTTAACGCACCAGCACACTAGGGCTCAGAACATGGAGCTGAGGGTGATGGGGGGGGGGATGGGTGAGAGGGGGAGAGGCTGGGAGGGGGAGACCCACACGCATAGACTCCACGGACGACAACCCCCCGAACAAGAAGCCACGACTCCCCAAAACGGAAAGGAAACCCACCTCCCCACTAACAGAACCCCCAACCCGACTCACATTCAAACCCACGCACAAACGACAGGATTACTCCACACCTCCCACCCCCCCTCCCCCACCCACTCACCACGGACGCAGAACCAAAGGTGGAAAACGACCAGACCCGGTGACGAACTACGACGGACCACACACATAAGACGATACCAGTCCCACACAAAAATGCCCCCCCATTCCAATGACGAACACAGAAGGACAAACCGCCCGCACACACACCAACACACCACCCGCAATCACTAAGGCGCACCACCCCCACACACAGACAGGACACAACCCCCAACGACTCACACCATGGAATGGGGAAACTTAATGAGTGTATTTGCAGAGAGACTGATTCTGGCAGCCTCCATGAAATGTCTCTAAAAGTTATAAGATTGAAATTCTACTCTATTCTACTCTATTATACGAATGTTTTAAACTTGTTATACGAATGTTTTAAACTTGTTATACGAATGTTTTAAACTTGTTGAATGTGAACGTTGCATGTTGACGCTACTGCACCGCAATATAACACACGGTCTCACCACATAACATAAATGCTATAGCAGCAGGGCTCAGACGACCCTGCCATCTCACCAAACAAACCACCCAACAAACTTTGCTAGAGAGCAAAGAACCGCCATCCACCTCCCCACGGGTTTACTGCCAAACTACTGGACAGGCTCACTGAGAATTCGCTCTACACGTGAGACCACACCCCAGAGGCAGACTGCCCCTTATTGCCACACGGCCTCCACCCTGGATTTCGAGGGAGATAGCGACCAAAGAGGAACAACACACAACCACGCACAGACCCATACCCACAATAGGCAAGGAGAGACGACACCAACCAACACCCTACTCAAACACTTCACGATCGCAGAAGACCAACCACAGCATATATAGCTCTCCTGCGTGCCCCCAACGGTGAACGACTAAAGCGACCTGGTGGGCATGCGCGGGCGACCACTAGAACCCCATAGCCACCTTCCCCGCTTTCCACCCCCCCTTTTTTCTTTTTCCCTCTCTCTCCCGAGTCCTCCCCTCCCCGCGCAGCTGCCCGTGTCAGGATGGCGTCCGTGCAAGAAACAGCAAACCTTTCGCATAAAGTGGCGGACTTGGAAAAACAGCACAAAGCCACGCTTAATGACAACACCTATGCGCAATTAGTCGCGGCGAGAGCAGCACTGAACTCCCACCTTTCCCAACTGATCACCTTCCAATACAGACAAGCCCAGAAGACCTTCTATGAACAAGAACGGCAAACTCCTGGCAAAGGCCCTAAGGAAAACCAGACAAAAATGTTTTATCTCAGAGATCAAACTCAACTGAACTACCCGCTACACTCCAAAGGAGATAGCGGAAGGCTTCCGACTGTACTACGAATACCTGTACCACCTCCGCAGCCAGGGAGAGGAGACAGGATTCCCAGCCGCTCCCAAACCCAACAGACAAAACGCATACCTTGCCAAACTTTACCTTACCTCACGACCAAAATCGACACAGAAACAGCTCAAACACTTGTAGAGCCAATAACACTAGCGGAACTAGCCCTGGCAATGAAAACAGCCAAGAATGGGAAAAGCCGGGGTCCCGACGGCTACACCATCAAATACTACAGAACTTACTATAAAACATTGGCTCCACATTTACTTAGTATGCTAAATGCCATCAAAGAAGGGGGGAGCCTCGACCAGAATACCCTAAAGGCGCACATAGTAGTGATACCCAATGAAGGCAAAGACCCTACAGCATGTCCAAGTTACTGAACGATCTCCCTGTTGAATGCTGACTTGAAACTATTCGCCAAAATCCAGGCACTCCGCATCCAACCCATCCTGCCGAAGCTGATACATCCGGACCAGGTAGGATTTGTCAAAAATAGAGAGGCCAGAGACACCACCACCAAAGTAATCAACCTGATGTATGTGGCCAGGATAGGAACAACACCAGCACTTCTAATCTCCACCGACGCGGAAAAAACGTTCGATAGGGTAGACTGGACCTTTCTCTTCGCGACGCTAAAACACCTAGGGTTCGGCCCCAACATGAGGACATGGATCGCAGCTCTCTACAACAAACTATCAAAACCATTCCAGATACACGACACCCGACCGGGATGCCCTCTCTCGCCCCTACCTTTTGTACGCCGCCTGGAACCATTCCTGAATGCGGTACACAGCAGACCGGACATTAGAGGCATACGAGGACAGTGGGGAGAAAGCAAAATATCGGCCTACGCCGGTGACTTTCTGTTCACAGTCAGAGACCCACAATCCTCACTCCCAGCCATCATTCAACAATTCGAGGACTACAACGCACTCTCCAATCTCAGCATCAACTATACAAAATAAAATACGACATCCTCACAAAACCCAAACCGCAAGGGGGCCTGGGACTCCCCGATCTTAACAAATCTCACCAAACCATCGACCTCCAACGAATCGCCAAATGGACCTTAAGGACAGAAGATAAGCTCTGGATCGCTATAGAAGCAAGCTTCACCCAACTCCCACTCCACACACTACCATAGATGCCCCCACAACAGATAAGGAGACACGAAAGGGGACATCCCACAATATCAGCCACCCTAACGGTCTGGAAGAAAATATCAGACAAGGACCTCGCCCCCCCCCCCCCCCCGATATCCCCATTGTACAATATCACATACAACCCTAGATGTCACGTGATCAACAGCAACCAAACCATGACGAGCCTAGGCCTACCGACCCCATGCAGGCTACAACATCTCCTGACAACCGGGAACATTCCCCCACTAACGGACTTACCCACACCCGAAGCCCCAAACCCACTGACTAAATTCAGGTACTACCAACTAGTAAGCGCACTAAAACAATACCTGACCTCCAAACTGCTGCAAGACCACCAACCCTGTTCGAGAACTTATGCACCCACGCCACACGCCATATCATTACTATACCAACTGCTGAACTCACCGAAGGGAGACGCCCAACTGCCATACTTTGTAAGATACTGGGAGAGAGATCTTGGACACCCACTAACCCAGGACCAATGGGCCACAATGTTCACAATGACACACAAGGGGGGTTGCGGGCGGAGTGCCGAGATGGAGACCCTCGAGTGCCTCCTCCCCCCACCACCTATGGCCTTGGTCCCTGAACTCCTAGTCCATATCCAATAACGTCCACATACCTTAGCGCGACCAACTCCAGCTCTACCCCCACCATAGGAACCCCTCGCAACAACGAGCTGACACACACCACTCCTGCGCATGCTCGCAGCCAAAGTTCAGAGACTCACATATCACACACGTAAGGGAAGAAACGTAGCCTGACCCGAACAACCCTGATGCCCACCATAGTGCCCCACTATCCCACCACAAACCCAAACAAGGGACAGCTCTCCCTAACACAAAGAGAAATACGACAATAATACCCAAGACATCTCTACATAGCCACATCAGTCACCCTGTCAACACACTAACAGCACACACATCCCTGGAACAGGGAGCAACCCCAAGCAGGGAAACAAAAAAATAATGAAACAGGAGACAAAGGGGCCTAAGCAAACCCACGACTAGAGACGATTGACTGGAGCAAATAGCTAGATAGGCAACACAACACTTTCTGATAAACAATATACATGACGCCAGAAGAAACGTGGAAAAGGGAGTTTAGGAAGCACGAGGCACTAGCACACTAGACATTAGGAGAGACAACAACAAGAGAGACCAAGCCAAAGAATGGGACACTACCCCCAGACGAGAAAAGAGGTATGAGCACACCAAAAGTAGGCACAGCCCAAAAACCTCACTACCCCACTGAGCATTTAAAGAGCTGAGACACCTATGATCACCTGAGACCTCTAAACAAATGGCGCTCTCCTTACAAAACCCCTAGTAATCAAGGTTTCAGAGGTGCTATGCATAACATCTTGGGAATGTGGAATCCTCTCCAATGACACGCTACTACAAAAGAACACAGCGATTCTATAACGACGTGTTCCTCTATCTAACGATTAACGCTGGACCAATATGTTTTATGATTATGAAAATTTTGTAATAACCGAAGAAACACTTAAACATGTTTGTAAAATATTCATACATGCTCAATAAAAACCCTTGGAATTAAAAAAAATTAAAATGTAATCTTTGTGACACTTAAATAGAATTTGCATAATAATTTGGAACAGGGTACAGAGGCGCTTCCGCGCTTCTCACTGTGATTTTCACAATGAGAAGACGCCAGCGTCCATAGGAAAGCATTGAGAAGTGCTTTCCTATGGACTGAATATGTGCGCATGTGCATTCAGCGGATGACGTCGGAAGAGGGTGGAGAGTCCCCAGCGCCAAGGGACCCCGGCGCTGTAGAAAGGTAATCGTTTAACCCTCCTTCCCCTTCAGCCTGGCGGGAGGGGGACCCAGATGGTGGGGGGGACCTAAAGACCCTATAAAGCCAGGAAAACAAGTTTGTTTTCCTGGCACTATAGTGGTCCTTTAATATTTCTTTAAGTGGCAATTTCACTCATGCTATTTTGACATTTGTGTTGGAGGGTGGGCATTGGGTTAGTATAAGTCTGGTAAATCCAACATATTTTGATATAGCTCTGCAGAATAGTTTGACATATAAAGGGGACATTATAGTCATCAGAACAACTAAAGCTTATTGAATTTGTTCTGGTGTGTAGTATCATTACCATTCAGTGAAAATGCAGTGCTTACATTACAGCCTAGTGATAACTTCACTGGCCACTCCTTAGATAGCTGTTAGAGATCCCTCTTGGGTCATGGCTGCCTAAAATGCATCCAAACATTCAGTATCTCCTCCCTCTGCATGCAGACACTGAACTTTCCTCATAGAGATTCATTAATTCAAATTATCTCTATGTGGAGATGCTGATTGGCCATGGCTGTGTTTGAATCATGCTGGCTCTGCTCCTGATCTGCCTCTTTGTCAGTCTCAGCCAATCCTATGGGGAAGCACTGTGGTTGGGTCAAGCTACCACTTCTGATAATGTCAGCAGACTGCTTGTTTTTTTGTTTAGTTTTTTAAGGCAAACTGCATGCAGTTCTACAGCTTCTGGCTTGAATACACTAAGATGTTGCTATATTTATGGAGGCATGCTTTTTTTTTTTTTTTACGTTTTATTACTTGTATGTTAACTATATAATATATATTTGGTGTTTGGCCCAAGACCTTTCCTCTTCGCTCAATGTGGCCCAGGGAAACCAAAAGGTTGGACATCCATGTTTTTGTACATTTATAAAATGTATATATCTGTCGCAGATTCCTGCAGCGATGGTTTTACTGCTTGTCATTCGTACCTCACTGATTTCTAAAAGGCAATGTTTCTGCTTTTGTATTATGTAGTATAGGCTCAAATTCTTGGCTAAAATATATATATATATATATATATATATATATATATATTTTGTAAAACACAAATTAAATGCAAATAGCGTAGTATGTCTGTAAATGACGATAAAGCAAAAGTAAGAAGTAATGGAACTCACAAGGCCGGAGTCATACCATCATATGACTCACAGAGTCATATGATGGTATGACTCCGGCCTTGTGAGTTCCATTACTTCTTACTTTTGCTTTATCATCATTTACAGACATACTACGCTATTTGCATTTAATTTGTGTTTTACAGATTATTCAAGATTTTAAAATCCACCTATTATTTTGTATGTATTTCTATGTATTTTTAGTGGTGATGGGGATTCCACTGTATAGGTGTTTTAGAGCTATTATATTTTCATTCTTCTTCTGTGTACATCCCTCCTTGTATTAATAAATAAATAAATATATATATATATATATATATATTATTATTATTATTATTATTATTATTATTAATTTTTATTTATTTTTTTTTTACTGTGAAAATAAAAGTAAAATATAAAAACTGTGACAAAACAAGATAACTTGTTGTTCTCCTCATGGGTTTTCTTTAATTTATTTTAGAAATCTGGAGGACTTCTCTCAGATAGTATGGAGCGTGACCTCCTAGATGGTGAACCAATGAAAGAGCTCAGTAGCAAGCGTCCCCTTGTGAAATCCGAAATTAAGAATAAGCAGGTGTTGTTGAAGGTTTGTACCGAAGATATATCAATGTTGTATAAGTATGAATTGTTATATGATGACAATCACTGCAGTAGTCTGGTGCTTGAAATTTTAGTTTTGTTATTTCTTCATCCATAGCCACACCATCCCTTGCTGTCAATCATACTGCATCCCACTACAATTCCTGAAAATATCTGTTTTGCACCAGTCTTGACCCTATCTTTGGAATGGTTTAAAAAAAAAACAAAAAAAAACATTTTTTAAATTGGGTATTACTTACCTCGGTGGTGGTAAATGTTCATAGCTCTTATTGCCTACACATGCTGTCTGGAAGCATTGTCCCTGCCAGAAGCCTCCAATGTAAGATAAGTATCTCACACAAAGAATTCTTATTCAAAACCTGTAGCGTTGGAGCACTTCACAACACATTATTGTATTTTATTTGTTTCATTTAAAGGACCACTATAGGCACCCAGACCACTTCAGCTTAATGAAGTGGTCTGGGTGCCAGGTCCAGCTAGGTTTAACCCTTTTTTCTATAAACATAGCAGTTTCAGAGAAACTGCTATGTTTATAATAGGGTTAATCCAGTCTCTAGTGGCTGTCTCATTGACAGCCGCTAGAGGGCTTCCACGCTTCTCACTGTGAAAATCACAGTGAGAAGATGCCAGCGTCCATAGGAAAGCATTCACAATGGACTGGCTGAATGCGCGCGCGGCTCCTGCGCGCGCGGCCGAGGAGGAGCGTCCCCCGCCCGGCGCTGGAGAAAGAGGTAAGTTTAACCCCTTCCACCCCCCCAGAGCCTGGTGGGAGGGGGACCCTGATGGTGGGGGCACACTCAGGGCACTATAGTGCCAGGAAAACGAGTGTTTTCCTGGCACTATAGTGGTCCTTTAACTTGTAAAATATACTGTGCATGGTTCTATGCAGTATCTTGGCCGTTCCTAGAACTGCACTTTTTAGATAGATAGATCTATAGATCTAGATATTGATAGAAATTATGCAAAATGCATTTACTGTATATTTTCATATTAATGGTTTTCAAATGTTTAGAGCATATTGACTAAACTGACTGTTATCCTTATATTTTGGTCGCTGTATCATAATTAAAAACTTAAAAACATAGAATGTGACAGCAGGTAAGAACCATTCAGCCCATCTAGTCTGCCCAATTTTCGAAATACTTTCATTAGTCCCTGGTTTTATCATATAGTTAGGATAACCTTTTGCTTATCCCACGTATGCTTAAACTCCTTTACTGTGTTAACATCTACCACTTCAGCTGGAAGGCTATTCCATGCATCCACTACCCTCTCAGTAAAGTAATACTTTCTGATATTATTTTAAAACCTTTGCCCCTCTAATTTAAGACTATATCCTCTTGTTGTGGTAATTTTTCTTCTTTTAAATATAGTCTCCTCCTTTACTGTGTTAATTCCCTTTATGTATTTAAATATTTGTCATATCCCCGTCTTGTCTTTCCTCCAAGCTATACATGTTAAGTTCCTTTAAGTTTTTTTCCTTGTAAGTTTTATCCTGCAATCCATGAACCAGTTTAGTAGCCCTTCTGAATTCTCTCTAAAGTATCAATATCTTTCTGGAGATACGGTCTCCAGTACTGCATACAATATTCCAAGTAAGGTCTCAACATTGTTCTGTACAGTGGCATGAGCACTTTCCACTTTCTACTGATTCTAAATTGATTCATTTTACTGGGCAAAAAAGAGGCAGTTCAGCTTATCTGCAAATGTGGATTCTACAGTTAAGAAAAAAACACAAAAAAACGATTTCCCTTTAAATATTTTATTCGCTCGACTTGTTGGCGTGTTCTGTTAATCCTAGGCCACAGATTGCATCATAAGTTATATAAGGGATGTTGGTGGTAGGTGCTTGTAGTATTGTATTTTTTGGGTGTATTTTAAATTTGTAATGGTAATGGCTTTCCTTAAATACCTAGGGTTATTCTGTAGGCGTGGATACAGAAGAAAAAGTAATAGAGAGAGCTTCAAAATATCGTGCAGCATGGTGTAAACAAAAGGAAGAATCTGGCATAATGGAGTTGCTAAATCTATTTTTTTGCAAAGTAAGTTTTATTTGCTTAAATATGACCAACTAGCTCTCTTATTCATCCTATTTCATCCCTGATTTTCATTAAAGGATCACTCCCACCAACCCCCAAAACACTGATTTTGATTAGAGTAGTACTTACTGGGATGGTCCACCCATGCTTTGCATGCTGGCGACAGGGACCCAGTACACCATTATTATATTTTCAAATTTTAAAGGAACTCTCCATGACCTAAAGCACTCTGCTGAAGTGTGCAAAGAGTGAGTACTCTTTATAAAATAAAAAAAAACAAAGTTCAAAGTTTAGTAGAAATTGGCACTTTTATAATTTAACCTTGTTACACACCCTGGCTATAATTTAAACTAGTGGACCTGTTACTTCCTGGTAGTTTAACTAATTGGAGCTAAAACCAAGAGACTGCAATTTTTCAGAGCCTTGCAAAGGCGTCTCTGTGAGCTGCAGTGGGAAGTCTGTGATTGGACAGCCACAGAAAGTCACAATTGGGGAAGAATGGGAATGCTTACAAAGGCTGCAGACAAAAACTGTAGCTTTTGCAATTTGTTTTTAGATATACCCCCAATTAAATTATCCATAATTAAATACTTGCGTGTTTCACCGGAGGTATATCTACCAACTAGTTTTTTGTTTTTCTTTTTGAAATAGAGCAAATCTGCTATTAGTGCTATTAATTAAATTAACACTGACCAGTCAGGATGTTGGTCAGGCTATTCAGCTACCATTAAAAACCCTTTATGATGACATCTCGCCTGAGGATCACCAGATGGATTAAATGACTAATAAAGTAATTTCTTTCCTTTTCTTCTTTAAAGTGTTGTGTTCTGTACAGATGAAGCTGTTTGACTAATTTGAAAATGTGATCCTATATATAATGGTGTTCTCACCTCTTGACAACTTTTATCTCTTTTTGCAAATTTAGTGAAATCTATATTTCTAATTTGAAAATGTATCTTTTACTTAATACAGGCTGATCCCTTACTTTACTTAATGGTTCCTTTTTATCCTGGGGAAAGCCTTGGTTCAGTGCAAGCCAACACATCTTTAGACTCAAATGTAAGTACATTCCGCTGCAATTTGCTTCCAAAATTTATGAAGGAATTGCTTGGTGTTACTAGGTGAAGATTTTATAGACTTTGTGTGAAATGCTGTTATAGTATAAGAATACCTTTTGCAAGATGGGATTGAAAACATTAAACACGTTTTAGATGGGTATCCCTTTGCAGTATATTTAACCAATGGTATTGTCAGAAGAAAATTAGGGAAAATTATAGTAATAAATAGTACATCTCCTTGGGGGCGAGGCCTGACTCGCAAGATGGCCAGACTTGTTTCTGTGAGCTCCTGCTAGCACGAACATTAAGTCTGCATGAAAATAGCAGCAGAAGGCTCAGTATCTAACACAACAGGCATCTCTAACAGGGACACAAAGGATCCCAAACTACTTGCTCTAACGCTCATACTAGCATACCTACTGACACACTATGTATGACCATGTTTTATTAACCAAAATTGTGCAATTTTACCCAATGTCATGACGTTCTGTGCTTAATGCCTTACCATTCTCTGATACAACCTGTATTAACATGTTAGTTACTTAAAAATGTGCAGTTTTCTCGTATGCCACTGTATTATACCTTGTGAAATGCCTGTACTTGCTGCCGTGGCAAGAATAAGCATGTCTGTCAATCGTATGCACAACAAAAAATAAAGAATTAAAAAAAAACTAGTCATCTCCCTGGAGCCATTCAGTGACTTGGTATAAGAGATGGGCCCACTGGGCTAAATTCTTCCTGCGGGGCTAAAGGATGTGTCCAAAGATAATCAAAGAGGAAATGCAATCTATATAGGTAGGGATTTAAAAGTGTGAATGGGGAAAAACCATCCCACCTCACTGAAGAAAGTCTGACAGCACAGATTTATTTGAACATCTGTGGTGAAATGCGGTGGTACCAAGCTATTGCAAGTTACCTGCTCTCTAACACATGTATTTAATCTAATACATGTATTGGAGAACCTTGAAGGATCATTCTATCTTGGTTGAAAAGATTACACTAAATTCCCAAAATTCAATAAGGTATCTTCTTTGCAATAAGACTTAAATTTTCAATTAACTATGTGAAAAATAATTTGCTATATTCCATATGCGTGTTTCAGAAAGCATACTTAAAAAAAAAACCTACATTGGTACCTCGGTTTACAAACGCCTCAGTTAACATAATTTTCGGTTTACAAATGAAAATCCATTGAAAATAATGCCTCGGTATCCTTTTTTTTTTTTTTGCAAAACAAAGCAAGTTTCCCCAGGATGCATTGTGCCTGGGAGGTTTATAGCACCGCCCTGTGCATGCTGGAGTCTGTGGGAAGCATGTGACGTCGGAGTGTAGAGATGTTGCAGCAGCTTTTGCATCGCGTTTTAGAGCCATTCTGGAAATTACTTGGATTACACAGGATTTGGGACTTTCTGGAACTTTTTTGGTGCATTTCTCTATCGGTGGAAATGTAGGGAGCTGAGCGTCGTCATTTGCATGCCTTTTATTGTGTGTTTTTGCATTGTGGGTTGGTTTCCATGCCAGCTAATTTTTACTTTTTTCTGACCTCCAGAACGGATTAATTGGTTTTCAATGCATTCCTATGGGAAACCACGTTTCGGGTTTAAAAAATGTTTCTCACTAAGAAACGTCCCGGAGAACGCATTAAATTCGGAAACCGAGGTCCCACTGTATAGGTCAGGAATACAAATGTGTTTTCCTGACCCTATAGTGTTAAAAACAATGTATAGGTGGCCTGTATATGGGTATAGATGGCTTTTTCTCTGAAAAAGCAGTGTTTTCTCCCTGACCCTGCAGGCATTTTCATGAAAACACCAGAACAACTATATTAAGCTGGTGGCTATGTTGTCCCTATCTCTGCTTTTAATAAACCTATAATTTAGGATGGTGGTTATTTTATATTAATGGGCCTGGAAAAAGCAATCCTTATATTATCCCAAAACTGGAAACAGTAGAGCATCTCATTTGACCCTGTGACTCACCAATATTGCACGTGGGGTATTTGTAATCGCATTGTAGCTATACGGATGCCGATTGGCAAACAAGTCTGAACTAATTCATAAGTGCCCATAAACATACAGGTAGATAAACAGAAAGCAGCTTTCATAGACAAGAATCAGTCGCCATAACCTGTTTTAATGTGCACTGCACAACATAACATTCCAGGTGTAAACTGCAGTTTTTGTTTTCACTTATCTAGGTTTCGTTGGGACCTGTGCTGGGCAAATGACAGATACAATAGCATTTTGCTTATTTGACTTTTTTTCCCCTTTTTGTACTGTTACTGTCTGGAATACCTTAATTGTATCTCTGAACTAATCTTTTATCTGAAGAATACATTTTGGCATATTTCCAAGGTGGTGGTGTGCCTACAAGGACCTCTGACTGAATGATGCTAACATGTGTTGGCAGAATTGACAGTATTCATAGAGGTTCCCATCTAACAGCAGGTTTAGTATTAATAAATTAGTGGTTTTGTCCTTTATTTTTTATTCTTGACATATGTATGTCTTTTAAATGAATGTATTTTATTTGCAGGAAATTGTGAGAGTGATGAGGGGAGTAGCACAAGGCTTGCAGACGCTGCATGCTGCCAATATAATAATTGGCTCCCTGCATGAAAACAATGTGTTTGTTGTAAATCGGCAGAAAGGAATTGTAGGGGATTTTGACTTCACCAAGGATGCTGTAAGTAAAATCAGAATGTGTTTGACAGAGTCCCATTTATGTTGAGTGGTTTTTGTTTGCTATGCACTTTATAGAATCAGAATATCAAATTGAAAATACATTCCTAGAATTTACATTATTGCCAGAAATAAGAAATACTGTAAATGGGGAATTATTTCCAAAAAAAGTACTAAATGAGAAAGCTTTGTGGTTAAATGTATCTGGTAAAGATTATTTATTTTCTCCAGTAGTACTATAGGTATAGTTTGCTTACACATTTTGTTAAAATTAATTATTACTCGTAATAATTTTTTATTTGTAATTTTATAGGAGCAGCGGAGTTCTGTCACCTGGTCTTGCTTCCCACACTTGATAGCTCCTGAATTAAAGCTAGGGGTGCCAGCGTCAGAGTCCTCAGATTTATATGCCTACGGCTGCATTCTCTTGTGGGTATGTTGTCTATTTAAAACGCTAAAATAAAGACTCTATAGGTCATGCACGGTTTTTTGAAAAACTACCCCATAGCAGTCTGTTTAAGCAATATATGGAACTGGTCTGGTTTGTCTTTATTCTTGGCCAGTTTAAGTTGATCCAAGGGCATATAGATAAAATGAAAAAGGGTCACTATAAAATAAATGGGACAGTCCACTGGTGTCAACTTAGTATTCCTGTATACACATTGAAAAATATTACCAGATGCCTAGAAATGTCTGTTCCATGACCTGCTGTTAATCCCTGAAGCGACACTGGCACACTTTATTTTTTGTATTTATTTACTTTTCTCCAAGATAAAATATTTCACTTGCATGCTTCCTACTTATATTTGCCCACTGACTTGTTGTTGTGTGTACTGTTTTGTTTACGATTTATATTCTTAACAGATATACACACAAAATGTTGCTTCCATACTTCCATCATTTTCTATTCCTTATCATTTACCATGACAGCATGACTTTTACATTGGTTCCTGCTTTATAGCAGAAAGGACTGGGGACAAAACTTTGAAATTAGTACTAAAAAAATCCAGCCTACCCATTGATGTAATGCCCACAAAGAAGCCCAGTCTTGGATCAAACTGGAGGCCCCATCACTAGCACAGGCTATTTCAAAGATGAGAAGCATTCCTAATGGACAAACCCACAGCACATGTCAGAAACACATTGGCTACATTTCATAAAGTTTGGGCTTAATGGGAATAGTAGAACAAGCTATAAAGATGTACGTCTTCCAAATCCCCTCCCACCCGTGGCACATTTTCTTGGTCTTAATACTTGTTTTTAGTTGAGATTTAATTTTTGTCCACCTGTTTTCTTGTTTGTATTTTGTTTTTATTGTGGTGCAAGCAATGGTCATATGCAATACAACAACATAAAGCGAGAAAGAGCATCAATATCGCCTGCACAATTATGACTCCGTTTACTAGGAGTGCTCAATAAATGAAGTGTGTGATAAAACAAAATAGACTTGTGACGGTTGATTGATAGTGCTACACAACATTGCATTTAATCTTGCATATATAGGTCACTATAATAACTGCACAGCACACACGATGAGTGGTAAATATAGAACATCATAAAATAAAAGACAAAGGAAATTCAATAAAACTGCAAGGCTAAATAGGCCCGATGGGGACAGGATAGCATCCTTCAAGAATTGGATCACTCTCTTTTCAAGCTGTATAGCCGGAGAAAGTAGCTGTTCAGCTTGCAGCCAATACCAAGCTTGAGATGTGCTCTGGCAACCCGGAGCGGGTTGTGAAGGTAGAAGCATAGTGGGAGCGAGGTGGGGCAATCTTCCAGCACCTTTGATCCGCGGACCAGGTGGCTCTGAGAGTCCCAGTGTTTTTCACAGTGGGGGACGCAGAAGGCCTTGGTGTTCCTACTCAGCCAGGGGTGGCTGACACTCAGTCTATGCAGGTGGTACCTTGGGATCATGCCTAAAGTAGCCCAGGTGGCCTAGAGTAGAATTTGGATGGACAGATAGGGTTGTGCCCGAAGGAGATCTACTCACCCCCTGACTTGCCAATTTCCTCTCTGGAGCAGCTGCGATGTTGCTACTTTGCTCTCCAGCTCTGCCCTGAAGTGTGCAAAAGTGACGTCCAGCTGTTGCAGGGTGAGTTCCACTATGTCTTGCAGAGCCCCTCTGTGCTGTGTGGTAGTGCCTGCAAGTGGATCCGCCATTTTGGTGCATGCGAGCGGGTTCAGAAGTAGGGCTTAAAAGGCAGCATTGGCATTTAGATGTTGCAGTAGCATGGTCCAAGAGAGAGGATACGGAACTCTGCCAGGAATCGGCACGTAAGGTCCTGCCAGAGAGGTCAGCCTCCCCTCCCGGCGTGTCCCACACTAGGCCGCAGAATAAATGGGGCAGGTCACGGTCAAGTTTCTCCATAGAGCCTAGCAACTCCCTGGTGTCTCCAAGAATCAGCCCAACTTATTGTAGCAGTCAGCTAGCACAAGTGCCCAAGATTAGAGAGCGAATTTGCGGAGCTCGTGTCCCGAGCGACCACTCTGTATGGTGGCCAAGCCCTGTCCTTGAGATTTCACTTTTACTTTGATTGTGGTTGTGGCAAGCTACATATCACAATCCTCAGCCAACAAGTGAACCTAGAACATGTAATATTCATGCACATTACTTGAGTGTGAATTTTGAGGGTCAATTGGACTAGTATTATCATACTTTGTCATAACCTCTGTGTTTGTATTATATTGTTTTTCATATTGTTTACGGTTCCATTCAAAATTTAGAGAATGCTTTACAGGCCAATTACATATGTTCTTCTCACCAGCATTTGTCTACTTACATACTCGTAGTTAAATAAAGAATGTGAAAGCTAAAAACCTCATACAGAATCTTGTTGGTGACTCTGGCCATAGTGACCTACCTTCTTACTAGTTGGAGGTTAGGAACCTTTTGTCGGTAGTCTCTTGGAGACCATTCAATATGAATACCTAGGTGTACATCCTCTCTTGTTCTATTGATGGCCTTCCGAAAAAGAATTTGCATTCTCTTATTTTTGTCCTCTTTTTAGTAGGTTGTATTATTTTATAAAACATTTATACAAAATTAGGAAGTGCCATGATTTCTGCGCTTTAAATTTTTATATATATATATATATTTTTTTTTTTTCTTAAATAATGAACACAAAAAAAATCCAGTTCACCCTATCAAACAGTCTATAGCAAAACTCCACAACATCCATTATACAATAATGGTGGGAACATAATGTTGCCATTGTGAATTATCAGGAAAAAGAACATTTTGAGAAGAATAGAAAATATTTCCTGTTTTTCTGATTAGCCCATTAACGCATTGACAATGAGTTGCAACCCAAGGCTATACAGTCAATGAACGAGAAGGGGTAGGTTATACAAAAAGTTCTGATATCTGTTAATAAGCACTAAAGGAAATTATCCTGAGCTTTACTAACTAGGGATTCTTCCTAAAACAAGTAAGCAAACGGTAACCGTAACCCTTCAAAAATCTAAAATTCCAAACAAGACTACAGGCGCCACTGCAGAAGCTTTAAGATTTGGGGCATCGCCAACTCTATGGAGATGGCTGAAATCCCACATTTCTTGCACCCCTTATTCCACCACATTTTGCCACCCATCAGGCCAAAACATTCTCCTGTAATACTATTAAAGAATATGCAAACCTGCCCAAACCTCACTTCTATGGACCTGATCATCCAGTTCGTCACTCACCTCGATGAAATGGTGCTACTTGTGGCTGTGCGAGACTCTTCCACTGTTGCATTCGAATCATGCATGCTTACATTCCAGGTCTACAGTGGTATGGAGACAGTCCCTATGTCCAGTTACCAGTTTATTAAGCAACAAGAATGTGCCAGATCAGTGGGGAAGAAAAATGTAAAGTTCCTAAACAGGATTGCCTGAATGAAAATTGTTTAATCCATGGGACATCTCCATTATAACTTTGTAGGAGGAAAACAAGCATGCTGCTGCTCATGTAATTTAGTCAGTTATTTCTCTAAGAAACCGTTTAATTGTCTTGGATAGTCACAAGCCAAACTTCTGAAAACTGAATAATCTCCTATAATTAGTCAAAAGAGGAGTCACAAATTAACACAGAAAGTGGGCATAATAGGAAGTAACTATTCTATCTAATGTATAGATTCTAAAGAAAATTGGATCACAAAAACGTCCCCAATCAGTAGACCAGAAGGCTTCTATGGATGGAAACAGTCAGAATTGAGGAAGTGGAATAACAGAAATCAGAGCACAAAGTAAAACCCTCAACCATGCAAAGCTGAGCTTGAAAGTGTATGTTGTCTATGTAATCTGCTATAATCACTTTGTTTATGCAGACATAGTCACACCTATCCTGGCTAAGATTCACACAGCCTGCCTACATACTTCCTGAAAAAGAGTCTTCCCTTATTGCACAGTGTGATTACTTTAGAATTTATGACCTGCTCTTACTCTTTTGCTACCATTTCAGAGCCTACAGCTGCCTTCTGTGTGTGTTATTTAAAGTTTAATTACCAAAGCAAGGAGGTGAGGCATCCAAAAGTGAACACACTGGAGGCTAAGTCTCAGCCAGGTTAGATGCAGCTAGAACTGTATAAATAATCTGATTTGATTCCAAAGGGGTGGAGAATTGAGCAGCGAGACAGCAGTTATATTATATATTATATAAACAAAAACGGCTCCATTGAGCTAATGTTTTAACTTAATGAAGCAGTTGAAATGGTGCTTAGTGTCCCTTTAAGTATATGAATTTGTCTAACGGAAGCTCCAATAGAAGTAAATAAGGCTGTGGAAATGCCTGTAAAACATCCTATACTAAACTCAGGGCTCCTAATTTCCATTGGCCAGTAAAAATTTGGCGACTTGAAAAATGTATTCCTGGCTAGTACAGTATGGCTTACAGAGGCGAGTAATTTTCAAGGCCTGGCTAGTAGCACAGGACTTTCACTTTTAAGCTCTGCTAAACAAGTAAACTAATGATGTACTTCCTTGAGACAGAAAAAAACAAAGTGGTTGGGATAGGAGCGGATGGTCTATGCCAGACCTGTGTTCCACCAGATAATGGTAATATGACACACAGACTGCCTTCCTGCTTACTATTTTCAGTCTAAATGGGTACACACAGTAAGACTTCTTTCAGAGGTGCAAGTTATTGAGTCTTCATTGAGGAAAAAAGGCTGAACCCTGCAAAATGAGTGTCCATGTTACTTTAAAACACTTTATTGACCTTCTCATTTCTAACTACTGTGAACAACAGGAGACTATCTGATGGGTGGGGTGGATCTATTTATACTTATTTTAAAGTTGTTTCCTGTCCTTTCTGCTGTGAAAGGATGAGTTACCCAATAGTCAATACCACCATGTTTTGGTCAGCAATATATTTCTACACTTCTGAAAACGTCTTGAGCAATACCGGTTATAAGATTAAAATATAAATATATTTAATCACACCATATTGACACTTTCTGTGCTTTCAGATTACTCCATTACTAGTGAAATAAAAACGAGTCTAACACTTTCTTGTTATTTCTAGCTGTCTATAAGAAAGCGAGACTTTGCAGTCAAAACTGATGGGACTCCTGATCTGAATGGTCTGGACTTGGTATGTGTACACATATGCTGTACTGATTTTATGATTGAATTTTCCATTTCTGTGCAGTGTTTTTTAAATGGATGTTTCACAAAAAATATGTAGCATACTTTAAAATACAGTCAATGCTGTGTGCCTTCATGTTTTTCTGTAGCAAGACCATACATCCTCTCTTGAATGGACTATATATTTCTTACAAATTTTATTCCAAATGTGTCTCATCTACATTTATAGTTTACATTTGCCTTGTAAAAATAGTGTGGGAAATGGTTTGAGATCTGGGATGTCACAAAATTTTCACAACTGGGTGTAAAACAAATCTGATATATATATATATATATAGAGATATATATATATATATATATAGAGATATATATAGAGATATATATATAGAGATATATATAAAATCTCCACATATTGTTTAAAGCATTGCTGCATGAAAATCTTACTTTCATAACACAGATTGTTTGTACCTTATATTGTATTTTCACTCTCTTTTTAAATGAAAGTTGGAAAATCACCCTTTACATGTATATCATTTGTTCAGATGGAAGTTGGATTTCTGCATGTCTAATATTTTGATGTTTGCTCTGGTAGAAAGTTTAAGCAGTAGGAACCATATTTGTATGGCAAAACATCAAATATGAGCATCTTTTAAAAAAAATATTTATTTTGTAGAATGATACTTCTTTAAAAGGAGTCTTAGCCTACTCTGCCAAACTAAATACAAATTTATGCACTGGTACCCTGCCTGTTGTCTGCTTCTATGTAGATATGTTCTGCAATTGTATTCTCTGAAGCGAACACCAGATGAGGGGTCCATCCTGCTAATTCATCTGCTATACAGTGCAACCTTGACATTGGTAGACTTTGTAACACCTTTCATTTTTATGGATATTGGTCTATTTTTTTAAGAAATTGTACTTCTTGCATTTTGTCATAGCCAAGGCTACTTGGGGCAGTAATAAATGTCATTGACTAAAGACAAGAACAAAGTAACCTGATCATAATTTTTTTGGATGTTTTAATTCCTGAAATTTACACTGAGACTGCCTGTAGTTCACCGCTATGCTGTGGTCAAATGCATTTGGTTGAACCGTTCTGAACCAGTAAGGAAAGGGAGGCAGTGTGGATAGACAAAGAGGGATATTTAAAATAGGGCGGGTTTAAAGGAGGGGAGATGCACGGTTCTTGCAGGCACTGCCTGCGAGGTAGAAGCTCATTATGACTGTTGCCAGCAGGCTGATGGTGAATGTAAATTTTGCACAGAATGGACATTAGAGAGTCTGTAAAAGAGGTCCAGGCTGCCTAGGTCACTTGTGCCATGGGTGCAATTAGCCCATTGCACAAAAGTGCAAATATGTAAGTATGTGCGGTGCTTTTAGAAAAACATTGCACATAGACTCCTGTCACCATAACCACTTCTAAAAGCAAAAGTGGTCATGGAGGTTGGAGTAACCCTTTAATGATGAATGGTAAGGAAACTGCCTTGCAATTTATGTTGCTATAGTTCTATTGACTGCACTACATATGATGTAATACTTTAATCCTCACATTTCAGAGTTTTCTTTAAGTTACAATAATCTGTTTAAAAATAAATTAATACAAAAATTAGGCCCGTAAGATAAAACAAGCCATATGTGTATATTTAAAGATAATTTACACTGCCTATATAAGTTAAGTAGCCAGTCTTTTTTTTCTTCATGCACAAGAGCACATGTGATATGTTATAGGAATGTGTGCCTACACAGTGTTAACCATGTATAATTGTATCTCCTTTCTAGGATATGAAACTTAAGGATCTTCTATCCAATCTTCTATCTAAAGAAGAACGAATGCGAGCAGAGCAAGTAAAAACCCATGAATACTTACAGTTACCTGAAGAGACTGTAAACATTTTGCCTGACACAGAAAGTGGTATTGCTAAAAATACTCCTGCAGATTTCGCTTGAAATGTGTTCACTTTACAAACTGTTTTATTTAACGTTTTCCACATTGGTTTGGTCACCTGAATGAAAAACCTTTGGCATTCTGCACCGTGATATTTAATGTTGGTCAAAATTTTGAAATGTTTTTCTTTTGGTACATTTCAATGAATGTTTATAAATGTTTGTGTTGTGATGTATTTGTTTCTTTTTTTTTTTCTCTCTCTCTTTTTTTTTTTTATTGGTGGGGGAAGTTTACTTAACAATTGACAGCAAAAACACCATAAACAACTTTGTAGCCACGCATGAAAAGTTAAGAATAAAACCTATTTGCGTGGACAATTTTTGTTTACACTTAGTCAACATCCTATTAAAAAAGCTATTGTCTGCAAATTTAGTCCAATGCTTTATAGGGGAGCTACTTGCTGACCAGAGTGCTTAAGGAATCCACTTTAGAGGGCTATTTCCAATTCAGGTGGGCAGTCTTTGTGAAAATGTTTATTTTTTATTTTTTTCTCAAAGTGCACTTGTCTCGAAATTCAAGCAATTCATCTTAGCCTTAATTACTATGCTAAACATACCTCTTATTTCCATGGACTGCTTTGCTGGCACAAATTTAAGTGGTGCTGTGGCGTCCCACAAATCCTTGAGTGTATAGAGAAACATTATACATGGGCTTGTATACTGTGTTGGGAACTGGTATAAGGGGGTAAACACAGAAACAAAAAGACATAGACAAAAGAAAGCAAATCCCAGCACAGATGGATAAAACATTAGCTTTGTTTATGTAAATTAATTAAAAAATCAATCTTGATATTGATGTCCTAAAATTATCAGAGTAAGAGTCATGCAAAATCCTTATATCAACAAAAAGCCCAAAGTTACTTCTCCAATGAAAGCATTGTAAACCAAAAAGGAAGTAAATAATGAATTCATACATGAACTGCTAAAATATTTTTTTAACTATACAACTTTAATGCATTTTAGATAGATTTTATCCCTGTTAATATGCTGTATTCTTTGCATGCTTAATTTTTGCATAAAATAAAGAAATGTTTTGCAATCTATTAAATGCCTTAAAGTTGTATTGGTGCCCGTAATGTCCCCTTAAAATAGTGTTAGGTATATAAATCTGTACTAAACTCTGTTAGAATACAGGAAGCGGTTTCATTTGAATTAGATCTACTAAATATTGATTTTATCTTTATTTAATTTGGGCAGTGGAGTGGTCCTTTTAAACTTCAGAAACAACCCTGTTGCTTTCTGTAAACTAATTTTCACATTAAAAGGTGCTTAAAGGTATACTTAACGAAGAAGGTTTGGTGTATAAATCATGTCCCTGCAGTCTCCTTGCTTAAAGGGACTCTCCAGTGCCAGGAAAACAATCAGTTTTCCTGGCACTGCAGGTCCCCTCTCCCTCCCACTTCCCAATCCCCAGTTACCTGAGACCCCCGACATTGTCCCTCGATGGTGGTTTCTGCTTGCCGCCGCTCCTCCTCTTCATTACGTCGGCCCTTGGGCGAGACTGATCCCGCCCGCCGGCCACGGAGACCTAATGAGCATGCGCGGCACATTAGAGCTCTCCATAGGAAAGCATTGGAAATGCTTTTCGATGCTTTCCTATGGGGAATTGAGCGACGCTGGAGGTCCTCACACAGCGTGAGGACCTCCAGTGACGCTCTAGCACAGGTTTTCTGTGCTATGGACCATGAAGTCTAGTAGACAGCCACTAGAGGTGGAGTTAACACTGCAAGGTAATTATTGCAGTTTATAAAAAAACTGCAATAATCACACTTGCAGGGTTAAGGGTAGTGGGAGTTGGCACCCAGACCACTCCAATGGGCAGATGTGATCTGGGTGCCTGGAGTATCCCTTTAATTATTTGTCACTGCTTTTATTTATGCAGGCCTAGCCACACCTCACGTGGTGTTGACTCTAACAGTATATATATATATATATATATATATATATACACACAACTCTTTCAGCACAAAGTATATACTTTAAGAAGTCCTTATCTCTTGCTTTGTTAATTTAACTTTAAATCGCACAAGAGACTCTAGCATGCCATTAAAAGAGCTGGAGATAAGAGATTCTAGATCAAACACATTGTGCAATATGGGATCCTTCACAATGTAGGTGTTTTTTTTCAGGAAGTGTGTAGTAGGGAGGCTGCGGTTAGGGCTGCATAATCAAAGTTATTTAAATCCTTTATTAATCAAAGTTGTTTTGGTGCCTATAGTGTCCCTTTGATAAGTCAGTTTCTCAATGAGCATCTAAGTTCTGGGAGAGTGGGGGGGGGGGATATACCAACCTAGACACAGAAAGCAGCATCCGAACGGCAATAAAGCTAGAGCACTGTAGAATAGACAGATTCAGCCCAACAGTGCTGTGCGACTGTAGAGTATAATTATGTTGCTGACAGAAATAAAAATCAACATAGAATAGCAGTTTGAGATCTAATAAGTAAAAAAGAGTGGAAGTTAGGCAGTATACAAAGTAATATAGAAAGCACTACAACACTCTCCACTAATCTTTCCCTCACCACCACGTTGAGATAATCTGCCTATATCAATATCCTGTACTAGCAAGGATACCATATTTGAATGAAAGTGCTGTAAGAAGCAATTGGCTGAAAGAAAAAAGTCATATGTGCTTTGGGCCGTTGAAACGGTCTTATCGGTGTTATTGCAGCATTATGCCACTGCAACAGGTCCTGTATGTCCAAGCTTGTCATAAAGATAAACAGGGTTATTCAGCAAAGTGAGCATTTTCAGGAATATAAAATTAATTTTAAACTGAATGCCAAAATAGTCTAACGGAAAGCAACGCTGACTGGGAGAATGTCTCTAGTTCAGCTTTTTTAATCTTAAATTTGTAATCCACTTTGATTTCCCTGCAAGTTTCACTTTTTGAATAACCCTGTTTATTTTTCAACAAGCTTGGATATATATGACTGGTCATAAAATCCGTAAATTGCACTTGATTTTATGTATATATGCACCAGTCTTACTAATCTAAGGATTTTCAATTTCAATTTGGAGTAATGTTTGTTAAAGTAGAATAAAATAAGTGAAGTCTAAACCACTCGAAAAAGGAAGATTAATTCCCCTTTTTGCTCTTGCTCTTTTGGTAGAGAACATATAAACAAAATCATTAAATTATTGTTCTTCCATGACCGCATAGTGCATGCTGCGTGTTCTATCCAAAATCATAGGCCTTGTTTGGACACTTGGTGGTGCTATATTCAAGTATATTTTAGTATTGCAGACAGATATGTTCTGTGTGGGAAAGATCTGTAGATTTACTTGTGCAGTTTTGGCTTTTGTTACCTTTTACATTTCAAATTAATTTGAGTAACATATACATAAATCTGAGTTTAACCCCTTAAGGACACATGACGTGTGACTTGTCATGATTCCCTTTAATTCCAGATGTTTGGTCCTTAAGGGGTTAAAGGGCACTAATGACAAAGGATAAAGTGAAACTCCAGGCACCATACCAAACTTCAAACTAATTAAGATGTTATGGTGCCAGGAGGTCCCTAGTACCAGCTTACCTTTAGGAGTAAAACCCTTAAATCTAGTGCCAAATAGCTCTGCCCCTCTCCTTCCATTTTCATTTCTTGAGTCAGGAAGTCTCAGACAGGGGTGTCAGCTATGCTGTAAGCCAATCGGTAGCTCCCCATTCACAAAACTGTTTGGGGGGGAAAAAAATTTAAATTTCTCAAGCCATTTTGTGAATGGGGAACTACTGATGCTCTTTAGGGTCCTCCAGATGTTGCTGAACTGCAACTCCCATGATTCTCTGGCTATCTATTTCATTCAAAGAATTATGGGAGTTGTAGTTCAGCAACATCTGGAGGACCAGAGTTTTGAGAGGCCTGCTCTAAGCCAACCAGCAGTGTCCCTATCCAAGTCTTGAATCAAGAAGTGTAAGCAGAGGGGCAGAGCTAACCAGTGCTAGAATCAACACTTTGGGGCTTGACAGTTTTGTTAACTGTTTAACCCCTAAAAGTAAGCTGGTGTCAGGAAACTACTGGCAACATATCGACGATATTCCAATGAAGCAGTTGTGGTGCCATGGGGGACCATGTTTTGTTTCCTGTCCGTTATTTCTGTTCTTCTGATGACTTTATAACAAATAATCAAAATGGTCAAAAATTGGATTTTCAGGTCTTTCTATTATTTTTATAAGTCCAATATAAAAATAGCGGCTACCTGGATTCTTTTTTACAATTCCATGTATACCCATTTCTTCTTTTCTTTTAAATCTGTGATTGTCTACGAAATTTTGTTTTCATACTTAGAGATTTGCCATTTGACTGTACGCTGTAATTGATAATATTTTCTAATATAAGAATTCAAGAGGTGTGTGTGTGTGTGTATATATATATATATTTTCTCCTGTTTAAAAAGATTACACCTTAGCAGTTATGGTAAATGTATGTTTGAGTCATACATTGGCAGTCTAAATCCTGCGAGGGTGTTGATGTGCTATAGGTTAATCATTGAACCTATTATTGAAAGCTCTGAAATCAGGAGACATCAAGCGTGTTGGTGGCAGCTATAAAGGAGCTCAGTGGGGGCGAGGGGAGGAATGTTTATAGGGAAAAGCCAATGGAGATAGTGGGAAAAATAGAAGACAGTGTTACAATTCAGGCATATACAGGACAATATATGCATGAACTGTACCATAAGCCTTGTCCTTACATTGTTTTAGACAGGGTGACCAAAAAAAGCGCACATGAAAATTGCCTACAGAAAAAACCCATGGTCATGTATGCTTACAAGAAAAATGCCCACACAGAATAATATGCACGTAATAAAATAACAATTTTGCCATCCTATAAGCAGGGCCGTCTTTAACGCGGGCCAAACGGGGCAGCTGCCCCGGGCCCAGTTTCTCTTGGGGGGCCCGAGGCACCTGCCCCGTGGGCCCCGCTGACCCCGGCGGGCGGGCGGGTGGCCGGTCGGGCAGGAAGGCGGGTGCGCGAGGGAGCACTCACTGCTTCCTCTTCAGCTCCCTCGCGCGCCGCGTAGGGATGCCGGCGCCGGAAGATGACTCCGGCATCAGTGCGGTGCGCGAGGGAGCTGAAGAGGAAGCAGTGAGTGCTCCCTCGCGCGCCCGCCTTCCTGCCCGACCGGCCACCCGCCCAGGAGCCCAGCAGCAGCACCACTGGACCCCAGGGAATCCCCCCAGCACTCCAAAAGGTAAGGAGGCTGGGGGGATTACATTTAAAAAAAAAAATGTGTGTATGTGTGTGTTAGTATGTGTGTGTTAGTATGTGTGTGTTAGTATGTGTGTGTTTGTGTGTTAGTGTATGTGTGTGTTTGTGTGTGTGTATGTTAGTGTTTGTGTGTGTGTGTGTTAGTGTATGTGTATGTGTGTTAGTGTATGTGTTTGTGTGTTAGTGTATGTGTGTGTGTGTTAGTGTGTGTGTTAGAGTGTGTGTTTGTGTATGTGTTAGTGTGTTTGTGTGTTAGTGTATGTGTGTGTTAGTGTATGTGTGTGTTAGTGTATGTGTGTGTTAGTGTATGTGTGTGTCAGTATGTCTGTCTGTCTGTGTGTCAGTATATATGTGTGTGTCAGTATGTCTGTCAGTGCATGTGTATGCATGTGTCAGTATATCTGTCTGTGTGCCAGTATGTCTGTGTGTGTGTGTGTGTGTGTGTGTCAGTATATCAGTCTGTGTGTGTCAGTGTATGTGCCTGTGTGTGTGTGTCAGTATTTCTCAGTGTATGTGGGTGTCAGTATTTCTGTCAGTGTATGTGTGTCAGTATGTTGATCAGTGTATGTGTCTGTGTGTGTGTGTCAGTATGTCGGTATATGTGTCTGTGTGTCAGTATGTCGGTATATGTGTCTGTGTGTCAGTATGTCTGTCAGTACGTCTACCAGTGTATGTGTCTGTGTGTGTCAATATATGTACCTGTGTCAGTGTGTCTGTCAGTGTATGTGCCTGTTTATCTGTATGTAGTCAGTGTATGTATCTGTGTATCTGCTTGTGCGTCAGAGTGTGTACCCGTGCATCTGAGCCGCAACTTTAAATACAAATACACCCCTCCATTCAAACTTCAACACTACATATAAAACACACTCCTGCATTGAAACGTCAACACTACATACAAGCACACCCCTACATTCAAAAACAAACACTACACATAAATGCACACTTGCATTCAAACTCCAGTACCACATACAAACACATTCACACAAACATACTCCATACAAACACATGCTTACATTCAAACATACTAACATGGTTCAGTGCTAAATACAACCCTGCAAGCATGGGAAATTGGTAGAGTCCCAGCTGTCAAAGCATTGTTGGAGTTGCACGACAGATGGGGTTCTACCTTTAGTCCAACCTTGCAATTGGGGTCCCAATAAAATTCATTCTACTTTAGTACCGCCACTGCGTTGGGATGGATGCCGTGATTGCATACCAGGGAGTGAGGGGTGAGAGCGGCAGGGCACAGGGGGCCCAAGCAAACACTTGCCCAGGGTCCATTCGTTATTAAAGACGGCCCTGCCTATAAGTATTGCTAAACAAAAGTGTCCTCTATATGACGAGGGCTTTAATGCTCGAGTGTAAATATTTGTAAGGAAAAATGAAAAATACAGGTAATAAAAGTGAACCGTTTATTTTAATCTATAAACAAACTAACTTTTAATTCACATTCTCACTTGTGCATTGTGGTATAGCCGAGGTTATCATGTATTCTTCTTCGTCCTATTTGCCATTATCTATGTTTATCACCCTATTGGCATTTAATGCCATCTGTCACCTTGTTGGCCAGCTTCCATTAGATCCCATCTTTATGGAGGATGACTCTGACCTGCTCTCCTTACCCTTTATTCATGTTCACCCCATCAAGCTACTACTAAGATTTTATATATGTAATTTTGATTCTAAATGTATTATATATATATGGTTTATTTGTATTATTTTATTGATTATATAGTGAGGGACATGCCTGAAAACCAGGCAGAAATATCAGAGAATTTAATTTGCAAGGCCTGTATTTAGCTCTTGACTTTCCAAAACACCATAAAACCTGTACATGGGTACTGTTGTACTCCAGAGACATCACTGAACACAAATATTAGTGTTTTAGAGCAGTAAAATGTATAATGTGTTGTTCATCTGAGGTATTTACCTAATTTTAAGACCTGCTAAGAAACAGATGATTATGTCCTGATATGTAAAACCATAGAATTCAAAGAGGGTGTACTTTCGTTTTCCCATTATCATTCATAATATATACCATTTTAAAGGACAGATGGGGCTTTCTTCTTATAAGTTATACGTATACTTAAAGGAACACTATAGCATTAGGAATCTAAACTTTTATTTAGTGTCCTCTCTCCCCTTCCCCTGTTTGCAATAAAATGTAAAAAATATAAATTATTTATGAAGCGCCAACAAATTCAGCAGCGCGTTACAATGGGAGGACTAACACACGTAATTGTAACCAGACAAGTTGGAAGCACAGGAACAGAGGGGTTGAGGGCCCCGTTCAATGAGCTTACATACTAGAGGGTGTGGGGTATAGTGACACAAAAGATAAGGAAAGAAAAGTAGATTGATAGAAAAATATTCACTGAGGGCTTAGTAAATTACTTTTTTTATGTTGCAGGAGAGAAATCAGGGTGCAGGGGATATTCATTCTTTGTGTGTTAGTTTAAGCAGACTGTGATTGTCTATTGTTGTGACTTAGATGATGCTCAGATCACATTTTATGACCAATTTGTGCAGAAATCCATATCATTCCAAAGGGTTCACATACATTTTCTTGCAACTGTAACTCAAAATGCATTCAATCCCATTTTAAAAATGCCTACTTCTATGTCTAGGATTTCAATTTATTTTTTGGAAACTTAAAAAAATTTTTTTTAATATAATTGCACTGTTAAAAATGAAACCTTAGCCAACTAGGTATGCTGGCACTTTAATTGCAGTTACAAAATCCAATATCTCTACCAAAAAGAATACTTGACAGGGTTTTACTATTTAAGTATCAGTATTTTGACAGTTTTCTTTTGACCAATTTGTCATCAACCCAGCCAAAACTGCTGGGTACATTTAATTTTTTTGTGGTTTTCCAAAAGATTATTTTTTTAGGGTAAAAAAAAATTGATGTCCCACTACTGTAAAAACCTCTGTTTTGCATTCTGTTACTGCTACCAAGTACAGCAATACCCAACAAGTATATCTTTGCCCGGTCTGGGGGCAATTTATAAGGTCAAATTAGAGACGTGCGCCAATTTTAACATGCCTCTTTATTTGCTTCCTAGATATGCTATTTGGTGGTGACAATATCTTAGTCACCATACTGACCAATGTTATATTTTGATTTGGTTTTTAACCATCCCTTAACCCTAATCATAATTATTTCCTTAACCCTAACTATGATTGTAAAGCCAACACTAACCCAAACTATACAGTTTGGTACATTAACCTCTGGGAGCCAATCACAATAATGACATGACTTGTCTGACAGTTAAAGGAACACTCCAGGCACCATAACAACTTAATCAGAATTGAAGTTTTTACAGTGCGGGGAGGTAAAGTGTCTGACTCTATAACTACTTGTTAAGGGTCTGATGGAAGCCAACATTTTTTAAATGTGTCGGCACCAAACTCAATGTAAAATACTTCGCAGGGTAACAAACCTTGGCATGTTTAAACCTAGTAGGGCACTAGAACTCCCATGAATATTTGAATAAAAAAAACATGAGAGTTGTAGTTGAGCAACACCTGGAGGGCCAGAGTTTAGAGAATAAGGGTTTACTTTGCTTACTGAAAATATTCCCCATAGACTAGTCCAAAGTCTTTGGAAAAAACATTTCTGCCACTATTGTGGTTATTTACTAAAGTGAGAATTATACGTGAATTTCAAATGTAAGGCCAAAATGGCCCAGCTGACTTAGAGACTTTTTCCAGCCTGGCTGCTTTAACCTTAAATTTAAAATGCACTTTTGAATTCTTACTTTAGTGAATAACCCTGTATAAGCCTGTGGGGCAATTAAGTGGCCCAATGTTTTTGGTTGTTGCAGTTTACCATAATCATTAATTTGCTTTGTTTTTATGGAGGGAAAAGGCACTGACATAATGGGAGAGAAAGGACACTGGTATTTGGCATTGAAGGGAAAAACACTGACAGATGCCATTGAGTTATGTGTATAGCAGAACAAATACAAGAGAGCTGACTTTAGGAGGAAAACATACCAAGAGATGGACAAAAGAGATAAAGGTCCCTGTGAGATAGGCATATGAGGGACAAGGCAGGGAAATACAGGATAATAAGGAAAAGGAAAATGGTTTGAAAAGACACCAGAATATAGGATTATGGGGAAAACCAGCAAGATCCCACGTATTCGTTATTAGCTGTGAAATAGATATATCATCACGTTCATTGACCTGTATAGACTACTTACTGAATGCGTTATACTATACAGACTAACTATTCATGACAAATACTGCACTTTGAAAAGGGAATAATTATAAAATACACAGAGCTGTGAAGATGCACTGATCATTATTTTCATTTCACAAAGATCAAGGCTAATTATCATAAAATATATGTGATATACATTTGTCTAGGTGCTGAATTAAATTCCAAATACTGTATACATATGTTGCATATGATATGGATGCACTGCAAGGTTTTGCATATGATGTATATGAAATAAGGCAAAACAATAAAATATGTTGGGGTAGGGTATATAACTGGGAGGTGTAAAATATGATTGTGATACTAAATAATTGAGGAACCAGTAATATATTTATTTTGGGGGTAGTAGTTTGCAGACTAGGGGATGTTACAACAGGGAACCAAGACAACCCACCATCTCAGAAAAAAAAAAAACATGTTGAAAGGTGCACTATCTGGTAGCCAGGAAAGTGAGCACAAGTAGCTCTGCTTCTAATGTTTACACTGTTCCAGGAGGAATTTCTTCCCTGCCCCCTGGGCAAGTCCATCCTTGTCTGCCCATAACTAGAGGAAGTATAATGGTTCCAAAGTTCACAACTGCACAGGATCACAAAACCAGATATACCTTAATGCAAGTATGTAGAATATTGCATATTCTATGTTTCTATTGATTATATATGGATGTGTGGATTGACATAAGTAATAGATGGTATAAGTCACAAGGCTTTCTTTGTCCGAGAGCTCTGGAATGTGGATTTGGGGGTCTTGTCCTTATATGGCTAGAGCTAAACTCGGACGTTCGGATGAGCACATCTATATAGTAACAGAGGGGCACGAGGTCATGCTCGCTCTGGGCTCTCTCGGCTCTTGGCTCTGTACAACAATGTAACTCTCCCATCAGAAGTACAGCAATTACCATCTGCTATACAGAAGTAGAAAAGGAGAAAGGGTGGCGCTAAAAAAAAAAAGTGCTACTATTATAGCATGCAGCAAAAACACCTTAGTGTATAGTCACTACATACACTTACATATACAAATGAAAAAACAGGAGTAGGTGATTGCGCAGGTAGCTTATAAGTCCACAAGTTTGTGGTACGTCCCTAGGTTCTGTAAAAATAGAACACCAACATAGGGTAGTATGCCAAACATATGATATTCAATTGAGAAGCTTGGAAAAACTCACAATTTGATGAGCATTTATAAGTTTGCTCTAAACTATATAGGTGGAACAAGTCATTCAGATGTACATGGATCCAATGTTTAGGTCCCCCAGGAGGTGTTTGCAGTCCTCACTCAGGTAAATCAGGAACCAGGTAACCAGGTACAGATAGAAAATACATTTA